TCAACAGAAAAAGTGTGCATCGATCGCTCTGACCTCTGGAAGGGGGCCCAGCATGAGTGGCTGTGGCATCCGTCCCCCTAGTCAGCCAGGCTGCCTCTGGTCCCCACCCCCACGGTCTGTCCAAGTGATGCACCCCTCCCCCCCGCCTGGGCACAGAGCAGTCTGGGAACGGCTCCATCCCCACCCCTCAGACATAAATAGGGCCTCAGCCGGCCGGGAAGAGGCTGCCCCTGTCTTGGTAACTGAAGCAGAAGGTAAGCTGGGAGCTCCTGCCGCCGGTCCTCCCCAGCTCCTGCCCCCTCCTTCTCTCCCAGGGCAGCTGGGAATCAACAGCTGGGGGCTCTGTGGGGAGGTGGGAAAGAGCTGCTGGGAGGCAGTGGGTTACAGGCACCCAGGAGCCAGGCCAGGGGCCAGTGGGACCTGAACTGCAGGGGATGCTGCCTCTGCCCCCCAGGAGCACGGACATCCAGGCAAGAGCTGTCCTCTCTCTCTGCCCCACCCTGGGTCTTACGGGGGCGCTGCGCCTCAGCAGAGGGCAGGCAGGCCAGCTCCTCCTGCTCCCTCTGAGCAGGGATGGGTCCTCGGAGGCCAGCAGGGGGGCACAGTGATGGTGGCAGGGAGCCTGTCGGGTCCACTTCTGGCCGGAAGGCTCTGCGAGGCTTGTTGTGCAGGCAGTAGGGCCTGGGAGGGGCCGGGCTCCCTCAGCCAGGGCTGGGTCCCCACGGGGCCCAGGGGAAGGGTGGCCCATGTCTCCTGCCCTCCCTTGGTGTGGTGCTGTCCCTGGTCCTAGGCTACAGGCCTGGGTCTGTGTAGTGAAGCTCATCCCCTCGCCTCCCCGGGCCTCGGCTTGCTCATCTATAAAATGGAACAAATGGCGATGCCTGGCTCTCTTGCTCATGGACTGTGGTGTGAATTAAGAGAGCTCTTACAGTGTAAAAATGCTTTCTAAACTTCAGGATAAACTAAAAAGGCAAATCCTTATTTTGTTCAAGAGGAAATATAGGTCATTGCTGAAGAATGGGTGACGCCCCCGGGTGTCTGGGTCTGAGCCTAGTCCCGACACCTCTTACTGGCTGCGCGAACCGAGCAAGCCACCGTGTGGCATTTCCTCTGCAGTACGGCATTCACGATTTCACTTCACAGCTACTTACCCAGCACCTACCCTGGCCCCAGGTATTTTGGGGAATGAACAAAACAGAGCGAGAACTCCGATCTCAAGGGGTTTGCATTCCCGGGAGAGGAGACAGGCGACACACACTAAGCATAGTAAACAAGCAGCAAACATAAACAAACAGGTAAATAAATGACACAGTGCTACAAGGCCACCGGCGCATGGCGAAAGGAGAGCGCACTTGAGCGGGATGAGTGAGTTCAGAGCCCCAGGTGTGGCAGCGTGGAGCAGGGCGCCAGGGAGGCCTGGGCAGGGGGGTGCAGGCTGATTTCTGAGGATGGGATGAGTGACTATCTGGAAAGGGACGTGTGTGTCGGCTGCCATCCTTGCACTGTCATGCAGCCACAGAGCCACGGGAGTGGGGACCCCCCCCAGGGAGAGGGGCTGGTGAAGAGGGGGACGAGGAGAGTGCAGGAGAGCCAGAGGGGGGGCTCCAGGCCCACCGCGCCCGGGGCCCGCACAGTCCAGGACAGGACCTCCCGCGTGCTTAGCAGTGGCTGGTCAGAAATGAGAGCAAACAGTAGCCTTGGAGCCCTGAAACAGCCGTGCGCGCTGGCGGGGCCCCGCAGGGAGGGCCGCGCCACCCCACGGCCACCCCACGGCGCCTCCAGCACTCGGCGGCCTGGCTCCCCTGTGGGCGCAGCTGCCTTTGGCCTTTCACACCAGGCATGAACTGGCCGCTGAGGACTGTCTAGACAGGAAGGCCTGTAAGGAAAGGAAAATTTTCTGTTCCATTTTACCATGTTGTGTGGTATCTTGAGGCAAAGGCTTGGGGTGAGGGTACGGCAGTGCCTAAGGTCAGAAGTGAAAGTTCCTTGGGCAGTTGGATGACCACCGCAGATGCGGAGAGTAGGTACAGGTGAGCAGACCCGGGAAAGGAAAGCAAACCGCCAGTGCAGGAAGGGCTGGCAGGGGCTCACAGGTGTGCAGGGGAGATCCAGGCGTCCAGGTGCCCGTGAGTCCGTGGTGACACACCGCAGCTCCCGGGAGCTCTGGCCCAGCTCTGGGAGGGCAGCGGGTGCGTGAGGAGGGGTGGGAAGGCTGAGAAGCAGCTCGGTGGGACAGCTCACTGCTTCACAGGAAACGAGTGACAAGCAGCATAGGCAATTACAACGGGACGACCCCGTACACAGAGCACAGGTCCCCTACCCGGGGGGTCGGACAGGGCAATGAATCAGCAAAGCCAGCCCAGAAAACTCCTCCCCCGGAGCTGAGGCTGTGGGCTCCAGAAAGAGCAGGGTGCAGGAGCACCTCTGACCAGCCCTGGTGACCGTGTCCAGGACAGAGGTTGGAAGCACGGCTGCAAACGGGTCACCCGGGGGGTTTAAAAATATCTCCACCTGGCCCCAGCCCAGGCCTGTGAAATCAGGTAGGTGCAGGGCTAGGCGTGGATTACTGACAGTTCCGTGGGGAATCCATTCTGCAGGAATGGTTGCCAGCTGGTTTGGGGGTGAGATGGGTGGGAACGCCAGCTGGGGCCTCTGGCTGAGCCTGAAGGGCTCAGTCCCAGCCGCCTCTGTAGACTGAGGGAGGCAAACGGGCCACACCCTGCACCACTTATTAGCAGTTCTGGGGGTGAGACCCAGACCTTCGTGTTTCCAAAGCTTCCCAGGTGAGTGCAACGGGCACTGGGGCTCAGAATGACCCAGGAGAGTAAAAGGTTCGAATTGCATCTGCTACACACTTGCTGTGCAACCGGGGGAAGGTTTCTTCACACCTCAGAAAGCCCACGTCAGCAAACAGGTGAAGCAATTACTTCCTTCCGTGTTTAGCTAGGAAGATAACAACTAGATAAGATAATCCATTAAGGGGCTTTTGTGAACTATCACATACTCTCCACAAATCTGAGATCTCTAATCTTAGATCACACACCATAGCTGTGGAATGAGGTGTACGTCCTGGGTGATATTCCCAGCTGGGTTTTTCTTGCCAGGCTGACTTATACCATAGGAAAAACCTCTGTGTGTGTCAGCCTTATATTCCAAACTGGTTTACCACCCACCCTGGGGTTAGGCAGGCTCCACAAGGCCCTGGGGTCCGGCCGCATCTGCTTCTCCAGGGGAAACTCACAACTACAGGCACTGGGGGTGTATTAGTCTGCTGGGGCAGCTGCAGCAAAGCCCCACAGGCTTGGCAGCTTGAACATAAATCTGTTATCTCCTGATTCTGGAGACTGAAAGTCCAAGATTAAAGTGTTGGCCGGGCTGGTACCTCCTGAGGCCTTGGCGTGCAGATGCTGTCTTCTCCCTGCGTCCCCATACAGTCCTTCCTCTGCGTGTGTCTGTCCTAATCTCCTCTTATAAGGACGCCAGGCAGATTGGAATAGATACATCCTGATGACCTCATTTTACCTTAATTACCTCTTTAAAGACTATCTCCAAATACATACTTGGAGTCACAATTTTGAGGTACTGGGGATTAGACTTCAAATTATGAATTTGTTCAATTTTTTCATAAATGTGATACTTTATTGCTCAAAGTGTTCCTTTAAAAATACGTTGTCCCAGTGCTGGGCATAGAAGCCACAGGGCATAAATCTGCAAAGAAGTAAAAAGCTAACCTTTTCAAACAATATGGCTTCTCTCTCACTTACCAACTTTACATCTCCCTGTATGGCCCCGGAAGATGACTGGTTAGCCAGAGACGGGTAAGATTCCTCAAGGGAGGAACAACCTAAGACAGGCACAGTCGCAGGGGTGCCATCAGGAGAGAAATTGGGGATCAACAGAGGTGAGGCTGAGAACCTCACCCACCCTGTTTTGAGAGAAATCTGCTGCATCCGTGGATATTTTATTGCCCTTGTCTAGCTCGGATTAACACATAGTCTACAGGCACACACCTGATCATCTACATTTGCTCTCTTACAGCACTAAACTATGTTTTCTACCTTTATCTTGCATCTACCTACCACTTCAGCATTTTATTAAAAATAAAAATAATAATAATAAAGGGAGAAATGTGGGATCCACATATAAATCAAGTATAAAAATCAAACGAATATTCATATTTGACCTGATTGTTTATAGTTCATGATGCGTGATCAAAACCGAAAGTTTCTGTGATGACTGCCCTTGTACTGTTCACCATGTAAGAACTTATTCACTATGTAAGAATTTGTTCACCATGTAAGAACTTGTTCGTTATGCTTCAGAAGATTGGAGACTGATGAGAATTAGGCTTGAGATGGATTAATGATTGTGCATTGAGCATTGACTCCCCTATACAGAATTTTATTGTTAACAACCATTTGATCAATAAATATGAGAGATGCCCTCTCAAAAAAAAAAAAATTTTAAGAGGGTAGATTTCATGTTAAATGTTAAAAAAAAAAACGTTGTCCCCATATTGCTGTTTATTAAGCATGTAATTGTTGCTAAAGCATAGTATCACTGATTAACATAAGGTAAAAATAAAAGCCACTCACATACTCTTGAAAAGTGCTTACGATATTTTAAGGGAACATGTTTGCATTTTTACTTGACTGATGGACAATTTCATATTTTTATTTAAAATCTACAAGTGTCTTAATATTAAGACATTCCCACCATTATAAAAATTAAACAAAACATAAAAACAACTCCAAAATAAAACCCTACAAAAAGTATAGCCCGTATCAGCACATTTTATACCTGGATCATACAGATATTTTCCATAGAGCTTTGAATCCTGTTCTTCTTTGAAATTTGTAGACACGGATGGACTTCTCCTGGGCTAAATGGTACCAGGGAATATTGGAACACCTCAAAGTCTGGTTAGAGGGCACTTAACCACCTGTCACCTTCACCGAATGCTATTTCAGGGTACGTGGCCGTGAGCGCCCCCATCAGTGATGTCTCCTGTTGCTGTGAGCCTGAGGGCCGCCGTCCTTTGTCTCTGGGCCTGGATGGGCCTGGCTGCCAGCGACCGGGTGTACATACACCCCTTCCACCTCCTCGTCTACAGCAAGAGCAGCTGTGAGCAGCTGGAGAAATCTAATGCAGAGGCGCCCAAAGACCCGACCTTCGCTCCCGTCCCAATTGAGGCCAAGACGTCTCCTGTGGACGAGAAGGCCCTGCGAGAGCGGCTGCTGCTGGCTGCTGAGAAGCGGGACGAGGAGGACAGGATGCGGGCTGCGAAGGTGGGCATGCTGCTCAACTTCATGGGCTTCCTCAGGTATAGGGCCCTGAGCAAGACCCAGAGCACAGCCGGCGGGGCCGTCCTCTCGCCCACGACCCTCTTCGGCACACTGGCCTCTTTCTACCTGGGAGCCCTGGACCCTACAGCGCACAGGCTGCAGGCATTCCTGGGCGTCCCCGGGGAGGATCAGAGCTGCACCTCCCGCCTGGATGGCCGCAAGGTCCTCTCCGCTCTGCAGACCATTCAGGGCCTCCTGGTGGCTCCGGGGAGTGCTGACAGCCAGGCCCGACTGCTCCTCTCCACGGTGCTGGGCCTGTTCACAGCCCCTGGTCTGCACCTAAAGGAGCCATTTGTGCAGGGCCTGCTTCCCTTTGCCCCCGTCACCCTCCCACGCTCCCTAGACTTGTCCACGGACCCAGACCTTGCTGCTGAGAAGATCAACAGGTTCATGCAGGCTGTGACTGGGTGGAAAATGAACAGTCCCCTGGCAGGAGTCAGCCCAGACAGCACCCTACATTTCAACGCCTATGTCCACTTCCAAGGTAAGGCCAGCCCTTCTGGGGGTGCTCTGCCGAAGGGTGCTAGTTTTCCATCACTATGGACTTCATGTCCAGTGCTTCCACTGAACTTAGCAGGGCAGGGCCATGGAGATGGGCGGGGTGATGGGCGTGAGGAAGTGGCCAGGGCCACCTGCAAAGAGCACAGAGTGGCTGCCACTGGGCTCCTGGAAGAGCTCTACCGTGTACTGCTACTCTACGTTCTTTTCCGTTCTTTATTTTATCCCGTGATGAGGTGAAGAAGTGTCGTTACCTTTGTTTATTGGTGAGGAAATAGAGATGCATCACTGACTTGCTCAAGATGGCAGAGCCACAAGTGGGGATCCTGGGACCCAAACTCACATCTTCTGGCCCCACAGCCCAGCTCCAGGCTCAGAAGGGACAGGTTCCTATTTCTTGAGGTCACTGTCCCATGCAAAAATACCCAACTTGTTTGCTTAAATCACTTTCATGCTGGGAGGGCTTCTTACCAAAAATTCCCTCCTGCAAAGATATTCATGCATGTGACCAAAAGACGTTGAGGATCTATTACTTGCAAGACTGGGCTTCTCAGAGGGCCAAGCAGGAAGCTTCCATAGGACCCAGCCCCAGGCTGTTAAAATTCAACAGTGGGGATGGGTGCCGTGGAAAATGCCTCTGGTATGAAGCTGCAGGTAAAATGCTCTATGAAGGTCTCCTGGGCTCAGAGCACCCTGTTGAGGGAGGGTCCTGGGGAAGCAGGGGGAGCAGGGCTGCAGTGAGGTGGGAGGGCAAACGTGTGGACAAAGCCTGCTGACTTCTGGGCGAGGCCTGAACAGGAGTGGCTTTGACTGGCAGAGCTCAGCATCGGGGACCGCGACAGTGGAAAGATGGGTTGTGGCCAGATGCTGAGACTTCGAATGTAATGCCAGGAAGGCTGGTGGAGGGGGGTTGCTGTTATGGCAGCAAGATCTCTGCTCAGAGGTCATCCCGGTGGCCTGCGCGGCATGGACTGGAGGTGGGGAGGGTCGTTGGAAGGTTATGCAACAGTCCAGGCAAACTGTCCCTGGGCCACGTGCTGAGGTGGTGGCTCTGCAAAGTGATGGCTGGGCTGGGGAGAGGCGAGTTTGAAGGTCAGTAATGAGGCTCTATCCAGATGTGCAGCCGCGTGGGGACAGGCAGCCAAGTAAGCCAACAGCAGAAAGAGAAGCAGGGAGACGGGAGGATAAGCAGAGCGGGCTCGGATTCTAACTCTGATAACATCCTGCAAGTCTGGAAAACCACCTCCAGCCTATGGGCGCAGGAGGGGATGATAGGCCCGGATTGCCCGCGTCCCAGCAGGGACAGGTCGTGGAGCAGAGGCTGGTGCAGAGGCCACCCAGGCAGGGGTGGCCGCACCCCACAGAGGGTGAGGGGCCAGGGCTTGTCCAGACGTCCTTGAGAGGAGCGTGGGGAAGAGAGCTTGTTGAGGAATTGTGTTCCCCAAGAGGCTAAGCCAGAGCCACTGGTGCCAGAAATGGGGCCGGTCTTGGGAAAAGCGCCTGTCCGCACAATCAGACCACAGGCTAGACGGGAAAGGGAGGGGGCAGGGAGACATGGACGGAAGCAGCCACGCCCAGACACTGAAGCCCTGATGCTCGCCCAGCCCACCGATCTCACTCCCTGTGGAGACGCACACCCCTTCCCGCCCCCCAGAGCGCGTCCACTCATGACATTAGCAGGCTGTCCCGGGGGCCTAAGCTCCCCCATTATAATAACCTCCGAGGGCAGTGGGGCGTTTGTGACTGGCAGGGACTCGGGTGCTGGAAGCCGGTGAGTCCGGGTGCCCTTTGCCCAGACGTGCTGTTGCCCGAGCTGGGTGCTGGCCCGGTGGGTCCGCTGCGCCCGTTAGCTTAACCCTGACAGGTTTACTTAACCCCTGGATGGGGATGGCATGCTGTGCTTGTCAGGGGAGCAGAGAGGACAGGGCAGCCACCCTGGCTTCAGATTCCCACTTACTCTTGTTTAACTTGTTGGTGGAAAAAAATGTAGTACTTTTTTCCCTCTAAACAAACAAGCTTCCTGCCAGGCTTGGGGGCCGGTGCTGAGGTCCCCGCAGGGCACCAGCGAGGAGGGACTCTGCAGCTTCTCGCTCACACGCCCTCTCGGAGAGCTGCTCTCGTCAACGCCCAGCATCCCGGTATAGAGGACAAGGAGGATGCTCCCTTATCGCAAGGCTTTGCTCACTTCTCCCGTGACAGCTGGGCTGGCGGGCAGCTCAGCTCTGCAGGTGCCAGGCCACAGCCCTGCTGGCAGGAGGGGCAGAGAAGGCACACCCACCCAACGCCCAGTGGGGAGGTGGCACGCAGCCCTTCTGGTTCTTTCACTGGCCGCCGCTAGGCTGTGTGTCTGTCCCTCACTGCACACGGGGCCTGAGAAGTGTCACCTTCATTCCCAGAGGGGAGTGCCCAGCTCCGCGTCCTGGGGCTGGGAAAGGGAGGAGGGCCTGCCCCTCTGTGGCAGCCAGCCGCTTGCTGTATGCAGACTGGAAGGAAGCGTGCCTGAGGGTGCAAGGGCAGTGAAAGTGCTGTGTGTATGGCGAGTATGCGCACTTTTGTGCAAACTCACAGCATGTGCCACACCAAGGGCGGGTCCAGAGCACACCGCGGACGCTGGGTGTTGATGTGCCGACACAGGTTCATCCACTGTAACACATGCACGGCTCTGGCGGGGGTGTGTGAGTGGGGGCCTCAGTGCGTGCGTGCGGGTAGTGTAGTGGGTATATGGGAAACCTCTGCGACTACCTTCCCCTTAATTTTGCTGTGCACCTAAAACTGCTCTAAAATATAAAATTTAGTTTTGAAAAAATGAGCATGGCACACCACAGGCTTTGTCTGTGACGGATCTGGGTCAGTTACTGGTGGGTAAGCACCTTTAAGTCTTTGCGGGCCTCAAGTGATGTGACGGGTGTGGCATCTCACACCGGTGCCTGGCATGTATGACGTCTTCATCATTGGCAGTTGGTGTGACTGTAGTGAACTCAAAATGGCTGGATTTTGCAGGAGAAAGACATGGCTGGCCCTCGGGTCGTGGGGTGGGTGCGGTGCTGGGCCGGGAGCATGCAGAGAGGCCTGGGGTGCAGGGGTGGGCAGGTAGGGGTGCGGTGCTGGGGCTCCGTGGGCCCTGCCCTAGCCGACTCTCCCCTTCTTGTGTCCGTCCGGCCCTCCAGGACAGATGAAGGGATTCTTCCTGCTGGCAGGGCGCCAGGAATTCTGGGTGGACAACAGCACCTCAGTGTCTGTCCCCATGCTCTCGGGCACCGGCACCTTCCAGCACTGGAGCGACACCGAGAGCAGCCTCTCCATGACCCGGGTGCCCCTCAGCGAGAATGCCGGTCTGCTGCTGATCCAGCCCCACCGCGCCTCGGACCTGCAGACGGTGGAGGCCCTCACCTTCCGGCACGACTTCCTCACGTGGACCAAGAAACTGTGTCCCCGGTACAGCTCCTGGGCAGCCGCTCACAACCCTTGGGCTGCTCCCCCTGGAAAGTGGGGGGCCCTGGTCAGGAGAGGGCATGAGGTGGGCACATGTGCCAATGTGGGCCAAGCCCTGGGTGCGAGCTGGGAAGGGGCACGGTGGCACTGGTGAGCGGATGGGCGTGCTGCTCAGAGCAGAAGGCCCGTGCATGCATCCGTTACCTGTCTCTCTGTCCACCTAGCTCCTGATTTACCACCTGGTTCTGGGTGCAGGGGAGGTAGAGGAGAGGGCAGGCATGCCTTCCCCGTCCTTGTATTTGTCCACCGGTTTGGAGGGCCACATTTCAGCCCACCCTCTGATGAGGTGGGGGGGGACCTTTTTGATGCCCTGCCCCCCCGCCATGCACAATCTGCTGCATTCGAAAAGCTTTAGGGACTGACTTCCCAGGAGGGTTTGGACCCCCTGAGAGACCTGGGGGGGTCTTTCTCCGGGAGTTGCCCTTGATTCCAGAGCTCCCTTGGTTTGCTGCCCCCAGAGTGTTTGACCCCCTCTCCTGCTTTGATGGAGTTAAAACAATCCCTTCCACTCTACACCTGACACAAACCAGGCCCATAAATCTACTCTGATATGGGCATGAGGGCACAGGGGGCCTCCTGAGGGCATCATTTTTTGTCATTTTATTGTGGCAAACATAAAATCAACCATTTCTAAGGGTACAGTTCACTGGCATTAAGTACATTCACCCTGCTGCACAGCCATCGCCCCCACCATCCATCCCCAGAGCCACTCCGTGTCCCCAAACGGAAGCTCTGTCCCCATTACACACCCGCTCCCCAGCCCTCTTCCCTCAGCCCCGGCACCTGCCCTTCTACTTTCTGTCTCTAGGAATCTCACTCCTCTAGGACCTTATATAAGCAAAATCATACAGTATTTGTCCTTTTGTGACTGGCTGACTTCACTTGCCATAATGCCCTCAAGACTCATGTTGTAGCCTGGGTCAGAATTTCCTTCCTTTGTAAGGCCGATGTTCCGCTGCCTGGAAGGACCGCACTTTCTTTATCCTTTCCTCCGTCGGTGGGCCCGCGGGTCCCTGCGGCCTTCTCGCTATTGAGGAAATGCTGCTGCAGTCTCGGCTCTCCACCAGCCCTGTGAGGGTTTGTGCATCCCTGGAAACACCCAGGGCCCTTCAGCAGTGCCAGAGGAAGGCCCTGCTCTGAAGGGGGGTCAGTCGAGTGGTCCTACGTAGCGTGCCAGCACAGCGGCTGACGCTGTGCCTTCCCGCACCCCTCTCCCTTCCAGGAGGCAAGGTTCTCCGACAAGAACCCCCGTGAAGGGTAGCTAGTAAGACATTTTAAAATTATCCAAGTAATATGCCCTCAGTACAGCCAACCTGAACACAGAACAAAAGAATAGATCATTATTCATAGTTGATCACCTATGACCGCTGTTACATGGACATCCTTCTCACAGAATTACAAAGGACATGAACATTTTTTATTGCATTTGTTGCTGGAAGTTTTCCCAAGCAGCCTAGTGGGGCGAGGGAGGCAAACATCCCTTATGCAGGGATACACCTCGGGGACCACCTGGCGTCCTGGGTCTTCGGCTAGTGTCTGTGTGTGGCCTGGGGCGTGAGAGGGGGACCCACCCGAACCCTCCTGACCACAGCACCTCCCCAGGCGCATCCGCCTGACCGTGCCCCAGCTGGCACTGCGAGGCACCTACGACCTCCAGGACCTGCTCGCCCAAGCCAAGCTGCCCGCCCTGCTGGGCTCGGAGGCGAACCTGGGCAGAGCCAGCGATGCCCACCTCCGAGTCGGAAAGGTACCGTGGGGGCCCAGGTCTGTGCCTGACTCAGGTTCTCTGGGTGCCTGAGGTGGGAGGTGTAGATGGGCGGACACCGAGGAGGCTTCGGGGCGGGGAAGGAGGTGAGGATGGCCTGGCCAGGTGGGTGTGTGCTCAGTGGGGAGATGTGGACCATGACATGAGTTGGGCCAAGAGCGTCACCTACACTGAGGGGTGTGTGCATGCCATGCACGGTGCGGGCAGGCTGGAGAAGCACCCTCCTGCACTGGCGCCTGTGCCCTCTTTGGGCCCCAAAGGCCTGTAGGAGCTGCCCCAATGCTTGTCTTTGCAGGTGCTGAACAGTGTCCTCTTTGAACTAAAAGCAGACGAGGGAGAGCAGCCCAGAGAGTCTGCGCAGCAGCCGGAGGGGCCGGAGGCCTTGGAGGTGACCCTGAACAGCCCGTTCCTGTTTGCTCTCTATGAGCAAGACTCCACGGCCATCCACTTCCTGGGCCGTGTGGCCAACCCGCTGAGCGAGGTGTGAGGCCCTGCCGTCACTGAGGCGTGGCCATAGGCAGCCGCCTCCCACCGTTTCTTCCAGTGAGTCAGCTCGGAGCTGGAAAGAAGCCGTTTCTCCTAGTAAACATGGCGATGAATACACGGAGCAGCAGGTCCTGTGATGTGCCTACCCAGCCGCCAGGCCCCCTTTATCCTGGGGGACGCGGGGGCACCAAAACCGGATGAGTGGATAGTGCAAGTTGACTGTTTCGGAAAAAGTTTGCCCAGACCAATGTGTTTGTGAAACCAAAATGTATTTTCTTTCTAACTGAGCACAGAAATTGGGTTTTAAAATGAAAATGTCCATTTTTTCATTGCTTTGGGTTTATATCCAGTTATTGAATGTGAGCCCACGACCCACACGCCATCTCCACAAGCCTTAGTTTTTCTTTCCAGTGATATTTGCGATTTTTGAAAAACACATTAGGAAAAAAACAAGCATCTGAGTTTATGTTTCAATGTAATCCCGTGTCTGATTCTCCCTTGTGTTATTAATAAATGTCTTGCAACAACAAACAAAAAAGAAAAATGATGTCTTTCACTTAGCAGCAAATGTATGTAATTTAGCTGACGGTGCAAACACGAGCGCTTTCCTGGACTCTGGGCCCTGTTCTGTCTGGGTAGAGTTTCCATGGAAGGCGCTGGCGGGCACCTGGCCGTCCTTCGGACATGGGGGGGGGCGCCCTCCTCTGGACGCCTGGCTGGGCAGGGGGCACTTTCTCCTTTGTGGGACGCAGATTCGCACCGTTGCTTCCATTGTGCCAGGGAGCAGAAGGCAGAGAAGGAAATCTCCACGGATGGGCATTGGCACATCCCTTTCTATCTGGTGAACGCTGCCTGCCGCCTACCCCCCGTTGGTGGGATTAGGCCCCCACCCTCTAAACCTCGGGCAGAGGCCAGCACCTGGAGGCCCCCTGCTGCTGCTGGCACTGAGGCTATTTCCTGAGTACATAAAGCACTTTCTCACCAGCCCTTCCACACATTCTGAAATAACTGAGCAGGCTACATAACATGGGGGCCTTGCGTAACAGCTCAGAAGCGTGGGGCAGCAGGGAAGAGAACGGGCGTGGTGGGTGAGTGGGGATGACAGTTTCAGAGGGCGGCCAAGTTCTTCCTGCATGTGGCCCCATCCGCATCAGCACCGGGCCTGCCGCGCCCGTCTGCTGGCCCATCACAGCCACGCTCCCTGGGCCCAGGCCAAGCAGGGTGTGCTGTGAGCACAGGGTTGGGGTGCTCTCTGAGGCCTGGTCTGCACCCCCATGTCTCAGCGCCCCTCTCACACTCCCAGGCACCCCTGTAGTCTGGAATGTATCTCCCTAGCCTCGATGTCCGGGGACAGCAGTCCTTCCTGGCTGTGGCCGTGCCGGGCACGTGGGAGGCAGTGTGGTGGGTGCTTAGAAGCATGGGTTCCTGAGATGGAAAGGCTGGGCAGGGGGCCCAGAATTAACCTTTGCTGCTGTGTGACCCAGAGCAGGTACTTCACCTCTCTGGACCTCCCTGTCCTTATTTGTTAAATGGGAAATTCTTGAATGAACAAATGAATAATAGCCACCGTCATGTCAGTAGCACTCAGTCCATAGAGAGGCCATGACCTCCACTCTGAGTCCTGCTCCGTAAAGGTACAGCAGGAACGGAGGCGTTCCCCTGTGGGCAGACGTGGCCCGCTGAACACGGGCCCCCAGAGATGCCCAGTCCTAATCTCCAGAACTTGTGACTGTGGCCTCTGACGGCGAGGGGCCCTTGCAGTGATTAAGGAGATGACCACAGGCTGTCTGGGGGTGTCACATGTGACCCTATAAGGGTGCTGTCGGGGAGACTGGAATGCCAAGGAGGGCAGCCAGCCCTGCCAGCCAGCGCCCTGAGGCTGGCTCAGTGCAGTCCAGCTCAGACTTCGGCCTCAGAACTGTAAGAGGACAAGTCTGTGTTGCTTTAAGCCACTAAGTTGCCATTTGTTACAGCAGCAAAATGAAACTCACACAGCAACCCTGACACACACTCAGGAACTTCTCCTGATGGTGTCGCTGGGACTCCTGCGAAGGCTGCTCCCCCGTGTTCCAGGCCTCTCAAGAATGACCTCCCCTGGGGTTGCCTTAAGGAGGATAGCTGACTGTAGGAGGGTTGGCTGGCACTCGGGGAGCAGACAAGGTGAAACTCCCCAGAGGAAGTGTCTGGAAAGGGCCTCAAGTCTGCAGCCCCTTTGGGGCCCTGTCTTTAAAGTCGAAGGTGATGATGGTTTCTGCTGGGGATCTTCCAATTCACAGCACTCCCCCCCACCCTTTCCCCACACAGGCCTCTGCTCCCTGGAGGAAGCCCAGGAGCCCCCAGACACAGGTCAGATGCATTCCAGCTCTGCTTCACGGGCCCCACTGCCTCCTTCCAGAGGGCAAATGGCTTGAGCCAGGGGCACACACATTCATCACACCCCATAGACCCATACCATGTGCACGTCGGCGGCCTGGGCTCCTGGTGGCTGAACCCAGCGCTCAGCCCAGTCTGGTCGGCTGAGCGGGCTGTACTCTGGCACCGTGGGCTCAGCAGCTTGCAGGTGAGCTGGAGGCCGGCCGCCAGGACCCAGCTCCCCCAGCAGTCCCTAGGGCTCCTGCGGCACCACGTCCCTTGGGTTTATCTTGGCCACATGCAGGGGCCCCTGCCTCTCCTTCCCTCCACGGCCGGTGCAGGGAGGTGCCAGCACCCGTCCACTGCAGGCTGAACACCAGTCCGTGGGGAGAGCTGGTGGCTCCGGGAGCTGGAGGGCTTCGAGTCTCCATCCTCAGCGTGGCTGGGCCTGCGGAAGCCACAGAGTCAGAGTCTGCGTCCCTCAGCAGGCCCAGGTGTGCACGCCAGAGCTTAGGGGACGCCTACTTTATATGGAGCAGTTTTCAGAAGGGGCCTTGGCCACACCCTCCAGGTCTCGGATCGGTGCCCTCTGGGGGATGGCGCAGTGTCCACCGGAGTATCACCGCAGCTGTTTCTTTGTAATTCCTCAGAGGACGGCAAATGAGAAACGGTCTCGATCTGTGCCCATTACTGGATTCAGAGCTGCTCCTCCAGTCCCTCCAGCATGCATCTTCCTTCATATGATGAATGTGTATTTGTGAGGCGCCGACTGAGTGCCCAGCTTTGTGCTGGGTGTGGCGACTGAGCAGGGGCCATCACCACCGACGGTGCCTTCCAGGACTGTGACCTGTGGATCGGAAGTCGCCTGTAGTGACACGAGACAGCATGGCCAGGCTGCCGACAAGGAAGAGAACGTTTGTGTTTTTAACTATTTTGAACGCCGACTGGCATTGGGCTGCCGCATTTCTCCTCCTTAGCAGGCTCCTTGGGATTCACCTGGGCCTTTGCTAGGAGTAAAATGTTGCCAGCAAATGCTGTTCTCAGCTCTCCAGCTCTTTTGTAAATGGGAAGCTGGGTCAGGATGTGACAAGAATACCAAATACTGACACTGTGCAGATTAATTAACACAAAAATGTTAATTCTAAGGGTTTGTTTCTCTTTCATGAAATTCTAAGTCTTCCTGGGCCTGCACAGTGGTTATCCAGCAGACAAGGAAGCTATTCAGCAACTACAGCCACCTCCCACCCAGACTCTGGCCCGGCGGGAGACCTGGAAAGGTGTTGGCCCACCCAGGAAAGCCACCAGCTTCCAAATCTTTTGCTAAGTTTAGAAAACAGAATGATTTTTGTTTGCTTGTTACTCGTTTGGCAGCAAAACCCAGCCTGAACAGGTGTGAGGCTGTTTAAGATCCTGGCATTATTGAAGTTTGTAGTATGCAGAGCCCTAGATTTGCTGTGCTAAGACTGCATGTGTCTGATTACCAGGTGTGCTTCTGGAGCCCCTGTGGGTGTCACACGGGAGGCACCGCCTCACCTTTATAAGGGCTGAAAAGCTCTGATGGCCGACATGTACTGAAGGCGTTAGCTAATAGATTGTGACCTGGAATTATCATCCCGTGTGATTTTTCTTTTTCCTAATAAACTTTATTGTTTTAGAGCAGTTTTAGGTTCACGGCAAAACTGAGCAGAAGGTAAAGTTCCCATATAAGCATGGCCTCCCCCTGCTCACAACACCCCTACCAGGTGGTGCATTTGTTATCATCGGTGAACCTGCATGCAGAGTCCAGGGTTTACGTCAGGGCTCGCTCTCGGTGGTGTCCATGCTGTGGGTCTGGACGTATGTGTAAGAACGTGTATCCACCGTTCAGAGTATCACACAGAATAGATCTGCCCTCTTGAACATCCCCTGTGCTCCCCCTATGCATGCCTCCCTCCCCACAAACCCCAGCAAGCCTCTTTGCTGCCTCAGGTGGTCTTGCCTCTCCCAGCGCGTCACGCGGTCGGAACCGCACAGCCTGCAGCCTGTGCACACTGGCTTCTTCCACTTAGCAAGACGCACTGGAGAGTCCTTCAGGCCCAGTCATGGCTTGAGAGCTCATTTCTATTAATGCCGAATAATACCCTCGTCTGGAGGGACCAGTTGTCTGTCCACTCATCTGGAAGAACATCTTGGTTGCTTCCAAGTGTTGGGCAGTTATGACTGAAGCTGCCATGGACATCACTGTGCGGGTCTCTGTGTGCACACGTTTCTCTGCGGTATTTAGAGTCACAGAGTGAGCAGAGGTGTTTGGGCGACTTCAAGAGACTCAAACACCACATGCTGAGTGTGTCCTCCATCGCCTCGGGGGTGGGGGCTTGGAGCCCCCATCCCCGCATTCATGTCCCCCTGTCCTTCTGCTACTTCACCTGGGAAGAGCTGGATCCTTTGAGGCTTGGCCGTAACTTCTGTTAGCCTCTGGTCCGGGCTGATTTGGTGCCACTACTGAGGCTGTCCTTGCAAGGCCTCTTCTGGCCCGTGTCAGTCTTTCCATCCTGGCGGAGGGAACACACGCTGTTTCCGGGCCTTGACAGCCTCCCCAGCTCTGTAAACCGGGTCACCCCAAGCAGACCCCGGGGCACTGGGAGAGGCAGGGATGCGCTCTGCCCGGGGGCCTCAGAGGAAGTGGGGCCCTGCCACAGATGCCCTGATTTTGGGCTTCTGCCTCCAGAACTGTCAAAGAATGAGATTGTTTTCTTTTTGTCTGTTTTTAAAGATTTATATAAACTTCCAACTAATTTTATGTATATGCTACATGAAGATCTTTCTAAGCATATCTTCTAAAAAAAATTTTTTTTATATTGAGGTACACACAGAACGCACAAATCTTAGTGGACAGCTCGGTGAACTTTGACACGTGTATACACTCACGTAACCATCACAACCCAGGATCAAGGTATCAAACACACTTAATTTCTTACCTCTTTATCTATTTCACCCATTCCCCCACCCCTCCCCTACAGCAGCCCCCAGTCTGTTATTCTGAGGCTCCATTTTGTTTGTTTTTCTTAGATTACACACAGAATTGAGATCACACAGTATTTTGTGATCTTTCTGACTTATTTCACTTAGCATATGCCATCTAGATTCATCCACTTTATCCCAAAGGGCAAGATTTCATTTTTTATGGCCAACTAATATCCCATTATATGTATGTACCACAACTTTTTTATCCATTCATTTATGGGACACTTAGGTTGCTTCTGTATCTTGGCTATTGTAAATAAAGCTGCAATAAACAGGAGTGTATGCATCTTTTTTTAGCGAGTTTTTTGCCTTTGGGAAAGTTCCCAGGAGCAGAATAGCTAGATCATAGAGTATTTCTACTTTCCGTTTTTTGAGAAACCTCCATACTGCTTTCTACAGTGGCTGCACCAGTTTGCAACGCCTCCAGTAGTGTAGGAGGGCTCCCTTTCCCCTACATCTTCTCCAGCACTTGCTATCCCTGTCCTCTGGAGAGTGGCCATTCTGACTGGTGTGCCGTGACCTCGCATTGCGGCTTTGACGTGCACTTCCCCGCTGATGAGTGACGTGGACCTTTTCCTGTGCCTGTGGGCCATCCATACGTCTTCTTTGGAAAGATGTTCATTTAGGTCCTCTGCCCATTTTTTAATCACATAATTTGTTTTCTTGGTGTTGAGTTGTATGGGTTCTTTATATGTAACATCCTATTGTTTCAGGCCATGACATCTGTGGCCATTTGTTACCTAGGAAACTAACACAGGCAGTCGCCCCGTGGGTGAACGTGGAAGCCACAGGGTGGAGACAGCGGTCTGGCATTCAGCCCGGGGCTCTGCCTGAGGGCACAGGGCTTCCCCTCCAGCTCACCTACACTCGCAAGAAACAAAGCTCCTCTTGTGCTTGAGATCCTTTCTGATTCTATTATGTTATAAAGTAAAAATATTTCTACAGTAAAAAAGTTACTTCTTTAAAGTTTATTCAATCATGATTGTCCAAAGCAAACTAATAAAACGTGTTAGATAAAGAAGACGTTTTAGGGAAGACAGGTATAAACATTCTGGAACTTTTTGCTTTTTATCTAAAGATTCTTGTTTCTTTAGCCTAAAAATAGATACTATGAAATCAAGGACGCTGCTGCAGTGAGAAGGTGCTGCTACTGGATCCAGGTGATCCGGGGCTCGGCCAGCATCAAGGAGGTCTGTGCTCGGGTCCCTGTGTGGGGTCAGCTGTTCCACTGCTCCCATTTGGGAGGGACAGTTACCGAATGGTGAGTAAACTGGGCTCAGGAACTATCTTGCCTGGGTTTAAATCCCACTTATTGGTTATTTCAACTCCTTGTCTGTTTCCTCATTGGTGAAACAGAACTAAGAACCCTGGAGATGCAGGAGCTAGTGACATCCCTCTCCAGCCATATATTGAGTCAAACCAGAAAGGCGAAGCAGCCAGGGCAACACTGGCGTCCCCTGCTGACTGAGGTGGGGCTGGAGGGAGTCGCTCGGCCGCGTGGCTGCTGAGGTGGGTGTGCAAGGGGCCAGCCTGGCGAGGCTGGGCCCCCGCCTCCCGGAGCCCATCCTGGGCGCGGCGCGAGGTGTGCGCTGGCCACAGGAGGGGCCGTGTGTGACTCGGGCCCCCACCTGCTGCCCGCAGTGCTCCTCCTGGGGCCCCTCTTCCACACACACCCTTTCTTCCCTAGCTCTGCCTGCTCGCTGGGCTGAGGACAGACCACTCCTGCTAACTCCTCCGTCTGCTGAATTCCCAGCACTGATTTCCCTTTCCGTCCGTCTAGCCAGCCTTTGGGCAGAGGCTGCGTGCAGAGGAACGCAGGGCTGGGGGAGTGGGACTCCCTGCTCCCACTCACCCCAGAGCCTTGCTTGGCACCCATGCCCCGCAGACCGCCTTCTGGTCCCCACACTCGCCCTCCTCCTGGGGCCAGGCTTCGTTTGCCAGGAAGGACAGGCCTGCCTTTGCTATCGTTCCGTGGCACAGAATTCCCACACACCCAGAGGGAGGCCCAAGACTGACAGGACCCTGCCCAGGGCAGATCCTGCCAGAGGGAGGCGTCTGCCCAGGGGAAAAGTGCCCTCACAGCGCAAGAGGGAGGAGGGGTCGCCCCGTGCTGAATTCACAAATAAAAGGCACACGTGTGTTCAGCAGACACTCCCTTTATTTATGAAATAAATCTTCCCTGCTGGTCTGGCTCCTGACCCAGGTCTGAGGTCTGCTCCTGAACACCTGCCGGAGACTGGGCCACCCCTGGGCTGCCAGCAAGCTGGTGAGCGCGGTGGCTCTGCCTTGGGGAGGGGCGTCCTCACTGTGGCCGCCCAGCTGCTCGGGCGGCATGGCCAGGGAGGTGACATCCCACATCTGTGCGGATATATTCACTTTAATCAGATTTTAGAAATCAGCTCTTCCATGCTAAGATTTACAATAAAAATAAAATGATTTGCTCTGTAAACTATAGTATAAAGTTTCAAATGTCTTAAAAACTATCTTCCATACAATGGAAAAAGGCTTTTGTGTTCTTTTTCAGGTGAAAGACATGGGTGTGCAGAGGAGCTGCGGGCAGCCAGCAGCCCCTCCCCGCGGGGCGGCCCCCCACCCCTTCCCACCTCCAGCCGCCGCCTCCTAAGGCTGCTCTGCCCCCGCCTGCTCCTGGGCTGCGGCCACGAGCTCGGAGAGTGCCGCGAAGCTCGGCACGTCCTCTGTCTGCAGGCCCAACTTCTGTATCTGCAAAGGCCACGAAAATAAACAGCCACTGTGGTTTGTGCTGAATCTGAAAGAGACCCTCAGAGACCAAACACCCGCCTCCAGCCTCTACCAAACCAGGAAAACAGCTCCCTGAAGACTGGTAGGATACTTCTTCCTTTAGAAAAAGGACTTCCTTACTATAAACAAGACTACTTTTTGGGGCCAAACACCCAGCGTTCTAAACGCTGGTATGTGAATTTGTCTCTGGCCGTCGAGCTGGACAGAAACCAGGACAAGAGCCTCTTCTGTGCACTGGAATAGAAAGTTCACACTGAGAGAAACAATGAACTGAACTATTTTTTAAGTGGAGAATTTTCAAAAAAGTGTTGGCCTGAGCTCTTAATTTCCTGACATGTCATCAACAACCTTTTCTTAGAATCTGATGAATGAAACACTTGGCACAACTATGGAAAATCTTGGTAACCCAGGCACAGCACACAATGTTCCCACTGATGTTTACCACCACCACCACCACAGGAGCACACACCTGTGCGTACACACCTGCGTGTGCACAGGAGGATCTGGAGAAATCTGCCTCAGGCGCTTGGCACCGGTGGGTGAGTGTGGCCCGGGGACTGGCACCTGTCTGTTCTTCTCCCCTCTCGCCACCCCCAGCGCCCCCCTGTTTCCTTTTGTTCATCACGCCTGCTTCTCTAACAGACTTCGGCACTGGTAAGGAGGCTGTAAGTCTCCCTTGGGAAACAAACACGTCAGCGGACTTCTCTGCCAGAACATCTCTCTAAATACACCTCAGAGCAAACAGATTTTCATAGATGACTCTGATGTGTAACAGGGAGTCCTCATTGAGCTAGAAAGCCAACATCTTCTGATAGAAATTTCATACTTCTACTTTTCTCTAGCCAAAAGGTCTTCCTTGAGGATCTAGCTATAGAGTAAATCTAAACAGTTTAGAAGCCAGTTTCTGAATATCTAAAATCTTTATGAGACTCGAGACAAGTCCCCTCTGTGAGGAAGCAAGGCCCTGCATATGATCCACACCTGCCCCCACGTGGACACGTATATTAATATCCATCCTACACTGACTCTAAAATCTGTGTTTTCTAGAAAACCTACAAAACCCAGGCAGGGAAGCAAATCTGGGCTCAATTTCTCCGGGACCACCCTGAGACACCCTGGAGCTAATGCTTTTCCAGTTACTCTAAGCCAAGCAACAAACACTTAAAAAGACTCTGACACAGCAGCGAGTGTATCAGGCACTCTGCGGGCAGTGGACAGACAGGCCGCCACCTCCGTGAGCTCACACGCCAGCAGGCGTCATGACCCCGAGCACCAGTGACCTGGGCAAATGTCAGCTGCCTCAAACATCAACGCACTGGACCTCAAAATGTTGGATCTCAGTTTCCTGTAAGTCCTGGGTACAAATCCTCTACCCCTTCAAGTGTGCAGGGCCCCGGCCCTTGCCCTCAGCTCGGCAGCACCCCTGGGCTCATGAGAACCGCCCCGTGGCCGCTGGGCCAGAGTTCCATCCCGGAGGCGCTGGAAGCGGCGGTGGCTCGTGGGTTACCTGCTCTCCTAGGTGCGCGACATCCAAGGCCAGCTGCAGCCTGATCTTGTCGTCATCGCTCATGCTGCCCGCACGGGGGCCGGCGGGGGCGGCGGGCGCGGGCCTCCTGGCGTGCTTCAGCCTTTTCAGGCTCTCCTCCATTCTCCGCACAGCGCTGAGAACGTCGGACACGGTCTCGTGGTACCTTGAGCACATTGAAACAGTCAGGGGTGTTCGTGTACAAAGAAACTGGCCTACTTGGCGGACCCAGAAGAGATCTATAGGATAAATATTCATTTCCAATAAATATGCCATGGAAAACATTTAATGTTTTTGGTAAATATTTAATGTTTCTTAAGACTGAAAGAAAAATAGGGTCTTGACTCTCTAGCACTGCGTTCTCTCAGCACTTATGAAATACGTATGTGGATTCTGTTTAAAATTTCAGTCCTGAAAGAAAATCATGGGTCAACCTGTCTTTACTGTATCATGGGTATAGCTCACTCTCCAATTACAAGTAACAAATTTCAGTCGCAATCAGTTCTAGGAACAATTCATGTTTTAAAGAGTAAAAACATTTCAAAATTTCAATAAAACTAATTGTCCTCAAAATAGTCTCAATGCAATTTGCAAATTATAAATGCATTATATTTCAAAAAAGTTTGCTTACAAGCTGGTTACTTGGCATTTGGAATACATTTGCTCACAAAAACAGTATTATGATTCATGATTATGCTCTAAATTAACCCACAGATCCTGCTGAACTCACAAGTGATTAAAATAAATAAAATACTATTGCAAAACTGACCAAAATTCAACAAAAAATTGAGTCACTTATTGTCACAAGTGAATTCTGATGTCACTTGTTGCTGGCATTTGGCAAAAAGTAACCTGAATTGGAAATGAAGGGACATTCGACTGCAGCGATTCTGAAGACCTCCTCCTATTTTCAAGGGTTGCGGGGTTTTAGACACTGATTCTCTATCAGCTGCAATTACGCTTCAAAGCGTATGCTTTCACTTCCTTGAGTACAGCGGTCTTGCCAGGGTTTAAGTCCTCTGGTTGTCTGGCATGATCAGAGCCATTTTGGGCTGATACAGCTGAGGAGAGGAAGGACCTTAAAGGACAGACATGCCTGGAACTTGGGGAGAGATGCCGGCATGAAATGGCACCAGGGCAGAGGAGGGCAGGCCTGCCCAGGGCTGGTGGGATGTACCTGGACCCCCGGAAGGCGTGCGGCCTGGGAGACACCAGGGCCGGTGGGAGCCCTGGCCACCTTGGCTGCAGTCCAGGCTGACGGGGGCGGCCTTGGGCCGGGGAGTCGGGGAGTGGAGTGGGAATAGCTCAACCATTCACACAGGACTGAGCGCTTACACCCGGGGACTTGGCCCACAACACAGCAATTCACAACCTCATCCACACGTGAGCCTCTGATGGTCTCGGCATCTTCTCTAAGAAAGTCTGGGAGAGCCCTCGTTGGAGTTACTTACTTATGCGTGCTCTCAGAGAGAGCACCTTGTAACCACTGCTGAATCACTGCTTGTTTGAGCTTGTCCTGGTGTGCACTCTGAAGCTGGTAAAGTGGCTTCAGAGCACTGTCCACGTAAGCGGAAGCTGCGGTCGGCACCTCCTGGAGCGACGGTGGTACGGGCGAGAGGAGCACAGAAAGGAGATGAGCAGTAAGTCACTGAGACCTCAGGTCCCGAAGGGCACTACTAATGTACCAGTACGCCCAGCCTCCATCCCTCGCAAAAAGCAACACAAATGTCGTCTACAGAAAAGACACCTGGAGAAAGGAGGGAGCCGAGAAGAGTGAAGTGAGGGACGAGGACGTCTGGGGCAGGCAGACTTGGGTGCCAGGCCGGCCACCCACAGCTCAGTCGCCCTCAGCACCGCCTCCGCTCGTGTCGCATCCAGGTGGCTGCGTGACCCGGCCCGCCCACTCACTGCTGGTCTCATTCAGAGTGCGTGCGCAGGGGGCTGAGCTTTGCCCCCAAACGTGTCTAACAGCTCCCCCCAAGTGCTGCTAGTGGTGGCGGCCAGCAGACCACCATCTGAGAAGCGAAGGCCTCAGTACAGCAATCTGGCTTCTCTGCCTATGAGGAAGGGCACCAGCACCCACTTCGCAGGACTAATGAGGTGTGTGGGAAGTTTCTAGCACAGTGTCTTGACACACGAGGGAAGAATCTGGCAAATACGACATCCTACTGAATGGAAAGGGGAAGTTGGTAGACTACTAAAAGAAAGAAAAAGTATTTGCCCATATAAAATAGGTCCCTCTCTCCTACTTCTAAGTGGAGCTTCAAGACAGACCAGGAAGAGAAAGTTAGGGGACAAGGTACTCGTATGGAAGTGGTCTCAGATTTTAAAGGGAAAGAAGAGCCACAGGGGGACGAACTCCATCTCAGCTCAGCAAAGGGGCCATGCCCTGCATCCCAGCCCTGTGTCCAGGGGGCAGAGCACACACAGCAGGCGCCACCCCGCCCGGAGCCCAGTGCTGAGGTTGCCCGAGCCAGTGCGGCCGTATGACTCCAGGGACACTCCGGAACAGCACGGGGTCTGAGGAGATGTTCACAGTTCCTGAGAGTGATTTTAGTAGTAAACTGCCTAAAATCTGAGTCTATAGCTGCGAAGAAGAAATCAGAGGGAAGACCAAGTGAGATCCAGCAAGAGTGACAGGAGCATAAACGCCTGGAAACGAGAGCTCAGCAGAGAGAACAGAAACCCTCGCAACCTGAGCTCCCCAGTTCCACTCTGCACAACGGGGGAGCTGCAGGATTTGACTCGGGACGTCCGTGCACCCCGCAGCTCCCCATCCTATACATGCCTTCACTGGTCCCTAAGGCAGCTCTCCAGATCCTACCCAGGGGAAGAGCGGGGGCAGGTGGCCACTCGCTGCGATGATACCAAGAGGACAAGGTCAGCTCAGATTCCCTCAGACACCGTACGGGAGATAAAAAAAAAAGTACAGGACTTAAACTATTTTATTAAAGTGGTTTCTTCTGAAAATACTAACTTTCCTAAAGGCCACCAGCATCCAGGAAAAGTCCATCCTGCCCACACCAGGCGCCTGGCTGCCCGCTGTGGAGCGGCTTCTCGCAAGTGCGATTCTGCTGAACCAGGCAGATTAAGTCTGTCTCCCAGGCTGCTCCTGGGAACCTATTTCTGCCTCTTGTGCAACCGTCCCCTCCCATGGCTTTCCTACCATGTATTTCCTGACCTCAAAATTCTTTTCAATGAATGGTACTGACCTTATTGGTTCTTCGGTAAAGCCTGGGAACCTCCAGGGCGCTTTTCAGAAAACTGAAGCAAGACTCACTCAAGTCCCGGATGATCCTGCCGCTCAGGGCAGGTGCACAGGCTGACAGAGCCGCCCGCGAGTCCTCCAGGGCCGCTGCCGAGACATACAACACCGTGTCTCACCACTGCGCTCACGCCCACATGGGAGCTTATTGTAAGAAGTCAAATACAACTATTAGAATTAAAAAAACATTTCACTTAGGGAAGTTATAATCAGAAAACAGAATATAGAAACAACTAAGGATTTACAACTAGAGAAGCAAGTATTAGTTTAAATATATCCTCCAGTATCTACAATTTTATCATGTTTTCTTATTCAAAGGTTTCTTGAATTCTGAGGATTCATTTTTACCTGAGATAGAAGAAAAATTCTTAAAGCCAATCGTTTCAAGTTTTGGCTTGATTGTTTCCAAGAGTTCTGGAAGCTGAAATAAATATGCACTTTATGTATTCAGTTACTTTTCATAAATTAAAGGAGGCAATTCTATTTACATCTATGAACTCCAGAATATTGTTACTGAATGATACAACTACTCAGGACTCAGTAATTTTCATCAGAAGACAGCGAAATCCGTCATTCTTGCTTTCCCTGTAAAATAATCCAACAGCAGGGAAAACAGCACAGCTTCATGGCTATCCACACGCCCAGAGAATAAGCAGATCACTTCCTATTGTACAGCTTGTCCCAGTACCAAAAAGGTTTACAACAAAGATGATGATTTTGCTCAAAACATACAATATTTGTTCAAGCATTACAAAATATTTAAACGAGGACAGCAGAATTCTGTCTCAGAGCACTTAACACAAATCAATCCCATAAAGCTCTCTCGATGGCAAAAGCAAAAGCATGGGACCTACGCAGAGAAAACTGCAAAAAATTTTAATAGTTCGGCATTTTCAAAGTATAACTGAAGACTCGATGTTAACCCGGCAATACCTGGGCAAGTCAAACCGAAATGAGTAAGGCCAACCCACTAAAGATCCCGCCTGCACAGACTAAGTTGAGCTGATGAAACAAGGGCGGGGCGGAGGGGTGCTCGCTGCGTGCTTCTAACAGCGCTCCAGGGGAGGAAGCAGAGCTCCAGGGGAGGAAGCAGAGCTCCAGGGGAGCGCCATGCCGACTGGGCTGCTCAGCAGGGAGGGAGAGGGCATGCCTGCAGGGAAATCTGGAGACACGCTTCGAAGGGGAGATGAACAAGGTGCTCTCTGCCGAGGTGCCCCTCGGCTCCGCAATCCTATGGCCTCTCGTCTTTGCACATCCTACTTTCTGTAAACACTGAGCCGAGCCCTCAGAGTCCCTCTGGGATGCAGGCTCACCTGCTCCTGGAGCTTGATCAGGTCTGCGGCCACGTACACCAGCTGAGTGCTGGAAATGGAAACTACAGGTTTTGTCTCAGAAGGGCTGCTTCCCTGGTCTTCACTGTTTCCTTGGGTGACAGAAGGGTCTTTGCTGCCAGTTACCAAAGCCTTTTTAATGTCCTTAGCATTTTCAGTAGAGATGGGCCTGAGTAAAAGCTGAAAAAGGATTTCCATGATTAAATATTTTTCCACTAGCAAGATCCATGGGCATTTATACACACGGGTCAGCAACTCACCAGGAAGTGCTGGCTGCCTACTGAGTATTCAATACAAGTTTACTAACAAAAGAACAAGAGGAACCAGGAGATGCGAGGATGACCTATGACCCCATGGACACTTACCGCCCTCGAACTTGCATTTATTTTCTGGTCATAAAAAGTAACAGGCAAAAATGAAATGATAGGCCCCTCAGCCAAACACCCAGTTAACTTCTGGAACACCACAGGTCTGTAAAGATTAACTAACTTTATTAGGTAAATGATTTACTGAATTTGCTTAATAAATTTGCCATTATAATTAATAAGGATAAAAAAATCAAAATCCAAACCTCCTTTTGGATACAAACAACACAATACAAACAACAGAAGTGTTATTTGCATGATGTGTCACACAGGACAACCAAACAGAATTAAGCTGGCATCAAGCAAAGCCTGGAATAATGAACGTTCAAGGCAAAATAATTTATTAGAAACGTAAGAGGATGACTTGGTGAGCTGAGGCCTAACTGAGTAGTCACACCCACCCCACCGCGTCCCGGGAATCACACAGTACTGCACAGGTGGCCGCGTGGGCAGGGCGGTCTGCTAAGACCCTTCTGAGCAGGGATGGCAACAGGGAAGGAAGAAACCGCCCGGCGCTGAGCCCCCCTGGCATCTGCTGGGTACTCAGCCAGCTGGTCGGCCAACGGGTACCTCTTTACTTCTCACAACAACCACATATAGAGGCTGTTTTCCTATTTTACAGATGCAGAATCTAAGATTCAGAGCTAATTTTCCCAAGACCACAAAATTAAAAAGTGGCAGAGTCAAGGTTTGATTTTGCCTGCGCTCCTTCCATGAAAACACTGCATGGGGCCGGCGGTTCCCCTCCTCCTCCAGGGAACAGTGTGTTCCTGACGGCCGGCGCTCACCCCGCCGACAAACACCGAGAACCGCGCCACGATCTGCAGCGTGAGCCTCCACAGACGGGGCGCCAGCAGCGGCAGGAACATCTGATCTGACCAGCACCTCTGGAGGCTGCTCCATGTTCTGTGAGATGCCAAGAGGCAATACGAACTTCCGGCTAGAGGGGAGAACCAAACATTTAAGGGATCTCAGTCAATGACGGGCTACAACCTAGTCACTTTCAACGCATGATCCACGAGTGAAGGAAGTGGCATTCTGAACTTCAAATGGTCAGTGAAGCTGCTAGTGGAGGTGCCACGGACGACCAGGGGGCCACATCCATGTCACCTTAACAGCTCTCACAGCCATGCATTTTTCTGATTCTACCTCCCAGGCATTTCATAAATGTTAAACATACACAGCATTCAGAAATAATCTGTTAATAGGTACTTCACACCAAATCAACAAACGTGAGCTGGGGTGGCGGTCACTTGCAAGGGTTTGAACTTTGGTTTGAGTCTGTCCTGTTTCATTTCTTAGTCTCCTCCTCCCTGACTGGCACATCCTACTTACATACAGGAAGTCAACTACATATGACCATTTTTGGCAAAGACATGGAAACTCACTTTGAGGCTAAAATAGTGCCGTGCAGGCTGACTTAGCTCTATGGAGGAGAGCAGAAATTTAAGTGAACAGCTTAGTGACCTATGTGATTATAGAAATGGCCACATATGTGTGAGTGGCCCCTAGGAATTACTACAACACGACGCAAGAGTAACGAGGCTGGAAGGAATGCGAAAATGTCTGCCACCTGCCCAGCAGCCCGGGACTGGGGCTGAGAGCTCTGGAAGCCTAGGGCAGGAGCCCCAGCTGAGAGTCATCCCTGGGGAGGCCAGAACCGTCCTGACCTTTCCCTCGGTCTACAAGGAAAGCAGATCAAAGCCAGTTTTGCTATAAAAAGGGCTGATCACTCAAGCACACACGAGTCTATATCCCCTGGACGTGATACATTCAGGAATGGAAACAAATGTGTATGTCCACTTCATATATTCTGAAAGCATCCTTTTTGTCATCCCTCTAAAGAAGCTCTATAAACCAAAAAAGTTGATTTCTTTCTGCCTCTTTAAAAAACCAGAAGTTAAACGAGGTCTTTAAGGTCTAACTTACTTACGGTAGGAAAAGGTAAAGTACCCTTGGGGTTATCAAGGTCTAGCGGACTGGACGCGCTTAACGCGTTTAGTGACATCTGTCATTTACTGGTGAAAGAACGTTACCTGGAGCGTCTTCCAGTACATCTGTGAGTGCTGCCTCTAAGGATCCCGCTATTTCTCTAAACCTGCGATAAAAACAAGAACACAGGCAAGTGTCTACGCTGCTGCTTAGCTGCCTTTTGCTCTGCATTCTCCCCTCTTCTGAAATATCAAGGACTCCCCCCAAGGTCAGGGACAAGTCCAGTGCTCATGGACAAGCCCACCCAACCTCGGAATGCTTATTCCCCCAGGCTTTCTGTTGTACTGAGCAAGAAATAAACTTATCTTGCTTAAGCTGCTGTTCTGTAGAGGCTGGGGGTGTGCGGTCCTCTGTTGTTTGCAGCTGATTTGTATCACCACTAACCCTGTGTTTTTCAAACTAAAGAAACTGCATATGTAAGTCTCCATCAGAATTCATTTCTGGCAAGTCCCACCTGGCTGTAGTCATGCAGTCACTTCAAGTCACCGAACTGTGGCTCTCTGATCCATCTGCATTAGTACTATGGCACGGAAGTAAGTGTCCCCTAACGAAGACATGGGAATGCTGTATTCTGTATCTTTACAGTTTGAAGTAGCCAGTGAAAACTAGAACATACTGCTTGGTGCTCTCTGAACTTCTGTTCTCAGCTGGCCCACCTGTCACCTCATGTCATCCTGTCACAGACTTCTGTTTCAGTAATTGATGTGGACACACTTTTATGATTTTGTTAAGTGAAACTGAGTGTCTATTTTTCACTAGCTGCTTATGTCGCATTCTCTTTCTCAGCTATGTACCTCTCCCACTTCCATATCCTCTTTACCAGCAAACTCTTTGGCCACCTGCTGGTTCCCTTGCTAACAATAAATCCCAACACATGCTTAAGATCAATTTACCTAACTGATAAATTTGGTTTGTTGACAGGACACATGTGCTTTTTAAAAGCAGTTCAGAGACTGGGCTTAAGGAAATGGTCTGAAGAGTAAATGGAGCAGCAGTCTAGACAAAGAACAGCAGCCCTTCCTTCAACAAGGTGCGATGTGACTGAGAGCTGGACTCTAAGGCTGCCCTGGACCGTCAGAGCTGGCTGCTTCCCCGCAACTCCCTGTACGCCACTGGGAAGGGAAGGAACTCTCTGACTGCCCAAGGGGCTTGCAGAAGGCTTGTCTCTCCAAGCCACAGATGAGAGGCACAGAGGAGCAAATGGCAGAGAGGGCCCTGGAGACTAGCCCCAGAAGGGCGGCCAAGGGCAGCAGTGAGCTGTGGCCATAAGGGAGGGACTGCTCTGAGGCCGGGGAGCAAACCAACACCCGGCTCTTGATTTCAGACCTGTAGGCCACATTTTTCCAAAGTTTATACAAAATATAGGAAAGCAACTGCCGATACAGAAAAGGCCTGATAGCCGACATAGCACTATTTATAACAGGGACAAACTGGAAGCAACTTAAATGGCCCCAAGTAAGGCGAAGCTACACAGTACGCAGCACGTTCACACTAGGACGTGGTAAGAGAAGAGGTAAGCATGCAGCTACAGTGATAAGGAAGAATAGGAATAATTGGTATTAAGTAAGGACACAAGACAAAATTGTATGCACATTTATAATTCTGGAGAACACAGAACGTGAAGAACGAGGGACAAGTGCAGCAGACCCTTAGTATCACTGCATGTCACACATTCTGACTGCCATGACCAAGTGGGCAGGTCCATGAAAGCGAACCTGCCCAAGTCACCTGGCACAGCCATGCCTCCCTGGCCAGGGGCCCAGCACCTGACCCTCACGGAGCTTTCTGGGCAGTGAGTCCCAGGACCGAAGTAAGAATCCTGGAAGACTTCTTGGGACATGGCAAAAAGCAGGGCACTTTGGTGAGACCTGAAAAGCTGTGCTGGAGTTTTTATGTGTATATGGGGTGTCATTCTACTCTTGACAAGATATTTGTAACAAAGGCAACCCCAAATACAAACACTTCTAAGTAATTCTAAAGTTTGGGTTTTGGGAAAGTCTCTAGACATCTTCCTCCATGCATGCCACAGGTTACAATATCACAAAAGAAATGACAAAAAGGACAAGTGCTACTAAGAATTTTATTGGCATTGCTCTCTCTGCACAGTAGTATCAGTAACACTGTAGGTGCATTTGTACCTTGTGCAGGGACACCCGTGGGGAGGGGAAAGGGAAAGGGCATTGACATGGCAGACCGCCATCATGAAGGGGGAGATACACTATGTTCCGCGTGTAATGAATATACTACATACAGGATATATGTGTGAACATTCTGGGAGTATGTAACATTCTAGAAAGATTTCAATTAAAAAAAAAAAAAGACCTAAAACTCAGCCTTTGGCATTTAAGGGGCCAACACCCAGTTCCCAAGCAGCCAGTGATTCACTACAATTTGAGATTGTTTTGGTCATTTGAATTTGGTTTCTATGAGAAACTAAGTCCTAAACCTTCTTTCTGGACCCCTGTGAGAACAAACAGAATGTAGAGCCAGCAGGGATACAAATGTGTTCACAGAATGGTGGTGGGTGGGCACTGCTGCCGTTGTCTCGTAGGCCTAGAGCCAGATGCGGGAGCAGAGACCTGCTACTGAAAGGCAAAATTAATATTTCACCTTAGAACACGTCCTAACATTACCACCCGACTGGTGTGTAGGCTTCCTCTAAGTGACCCTGAAATGAATCTGATAACCACACAGCTCTGACCCAACTATGCTGGCAGAACTTTTTGTTATACCTCAGAGTAAACAACCCAACACCTGGTAAAAATCAACAGGACAGGCCCACAAAACACCACTTGAATTTCTTTTAAATAGGAAAACAAATATATTGAATAAGTCTATCTAAACTTTGTAACTCAAACATAATTTTTAAAAATTTCATAAATTTTAAATAAAACACTTTACAAAGAAAAGTCTACTGATCCCTTTGAATGCTTAAAGCTAAAGTCTGGTGAAGGTACAAAACAGTCTTGCAGGGAACATGGCTGAGTTTCAACCTAGTTCAAGGGTCAGTCTCCAGCTTTGAGCGGACATGTAATGGGAGAAGGGGCAGCTGAGGAGAGGCTGTGATGCCGTGTGGCCCGCCTGGGGAGCCCAGAGCACGGGCTGGGGCGGCCCACGGAGCTCCTGGAGGTGGGCGACAGCACGAGGAGTGTGAGTCGGGACGACGACTGGAGAAAATGTAAGATTTACACACAGTTTCTCTACTGCAGTGTTATACTGCAAAATGATGATTTACTGTTCCAGGTTCTGCTTATGAAGCAAGAGAGCTTCTTGCCCTGGCTTGATCTTAATTATCCTGTAACAGCTATTTCCAGGGCAGTCCCTGAGCATCTTAGATGAACAAATCATTAATTTCCTACTGAAAGACAAGCTATAGGATGATTTAGCTTCACAAAATTAAGCACAACATGCCATATTGTATGTATGTGAAGAGGCACTTTACTCACAGTCTGACAACTGTGATTTCATTGTCCAAAGATGAACACATGCGTTCTCAATCACAGCAAGAAATTATCATTATGTTACCTAATTCTTAATCTATTCCCTCTGTAATTTTTCCTCACAACTCTAGGGAAAAGGACTGTATCATAACAATCATAACTAATGAAAACGTCCGAGGATTTAAACAAAAGTCTATGATTCTTTAAGAAGCATTCCAACTAAAAGGCTTTAGTTAATTCCATTCTACAGAGGAACTTAACCACAACCTCATTTAAGAGAATCTACAAAAATGGCTACCAATCATCTGTTTTTCTAGTGGAAGATATGTTGTTAAGAGTTTATCTTCAATTTCCCCAAGTAGTTTATAGAACCACATATTGACATAGGCGGTACAATATCTAGACAAAGAGTGTCGCTGATTTCCAGATAGAACAATGTCACAAAAATTGTAAAGGAAGCCAAAATAACCACTGGACTCTCATAAATAGATGGAAATTAGCTGCAAAGAACACTGAAGGCCTCACTATTCCCCATCCCTTCAGAAGGAAAATGTGCGACAGGTACACAAACAACAGACGTGGGGAGGGTCCACTCCTTGAGAAAGGTGATGCCACTCAGAAAATGGGGAGAAACGGGCTACCAAACCCCTATTCCTGACTCTTCGCCATGCACAAGGACTGGATGCAAGGCTGAAGCTGGGCAAGCCAGCATCTAGTTCCTTTCAAGCCCTCTGTTCTCTAATTGCCAAAAAATAAAACATCATTTTGTCATGCAAGCCAGAACCTTGGCAATCACAAAAAAGGGTCTGTTAGCTGGGGAACACCTTTCACTGGAATCAAATTCTATTTTAGAAGGGCAGGGGTAGGGGGATACCTTACTGACCTTATTTGAAAATAAACAGGCAAGTTCCACTTATTATTGAAGCTGTTGTAGGCGGGATGTGCTCTTAATCTTTTTACACTGGCCTGTGATCCACACTGCCGTTCAAATGTTCTTACAAAATCCATACTTATAGTGTATTTCTAAAATAAGAACAAACAGGTGGGATTTTCATTATAAGCAAACTAATGAGAACTGGGAGCATATACTGGAAACTGTAATCAAGATAAAGGTCAACACATAGGATCAGTTTCTAGAGCCAACAGGGACCTTAAGGGGCCTCCCTCCAAGGTCCCCACGTAAAGACCAGGTAAGGCCCAATTCTGTGGCATGCTCAAGGTCCTGTGTGGCAAGCCCCGCTGGAAACCCAGCTATCCTAGGAGTCCAGTGCTCTTTAATAACAGCCCTCATATTCTAGAGCACCCCAACCCAGTCCATTGGAATTGGAAGAGATGATAGACAAAATGGTATAATTCTCAATGTCTCTCCAGAAGGAGAAAAGTAGAAAATCTTAAAAAGGAAAGAAAGAATCAAGCCGCATGAATAACAACTTTTTCATACAGGAGAAAATCAAGCCACATGAATAATATACTTTTATACAGGAGAAAACTGATGTTTTCTCTTCTGTTTAGGCTCAGAGAGAATTTACCCAAAGACAAAACTAGGAAATAGAGGAAAGAGAACCTGGTCAGTCGGGAGAGCAATGCTGCCGCTGTTGGGAAGTGCACATTTCCAAAGCCCCGGGCTCTCAGGACAGCACTGCTGGCCTTTCCATATATTCCTCTCAATTAAGAGGGGTTCCATTATGGGTCATGAAAAAGCCATTTGCCCAAATATGGTGATGCCTGTGCTTAGGTGGGAGATTTAGTGCAGTAAACACTATAGGTTTTAAATTTCTTTCAACTGGTTTTGAGCACACACATAGAATCCCCTGAGTGCTACGTGTGTGGAGCTGCGACAAAAGGTATGCATCCCTTTTGGGATAAAACTATACCTCTGCCTATAATGGATGTTAAAAGAATATAAAAGTATTTCCCTCTTTAGGAAGCAAGTTACATAAAGCTGAAAGCATTTCTGGAAGGAAATTGATAGGTGCTTGATGGAAACTGTACCCACAAATAGTAATTATTAGCTCAGAATTTGAAATTCAAAGTTTTATCAGAAAGCTTCATTTCTGAGCTTACGTGTCTCCTGAACTTCAGATGATTGGTATGACTCTGTGAAGAGCATAGCAAAATGTAAAGGGTCTTAAGTTGTTAGTTTAAGACCATTATTTCACTCTGCTTATGGTATCTATTTTTAAAAGGCCTACTTTTTAAAATCACAAAAATTGCTGTCACACAATTTGCTGAAAATGACACAAGGCACTCATATTGTTCAATGTCATGGGACAAGCAGCCAAGAGAACAGGTAAGTGCTATTTCTGGGACAATACAGATCTAAACTTGTTACTTTATCTTTTTTGAAGTCTACCAGGCCTCAGGCTCAGCACGCTTACCTTGTGCCTCTCTACACTTTAAAAATGAGTAAGATTGACCAGGCAGATTAGAAAAAGAAGCAAACAGAACTTGAGGTGAAAACTAGGAAAATTAAAATCGTGAATTCAACATACAAGTGCAAAAAGTTTAGACACAACTGAAGAAGGAATTAGTGAACTAGAAAACAGGTGTGAGAAATTAAGCAGAAATAATACAAAGATATGAAAAATACAAAAGTGAAATTGGGGAACTCAAAGGATAAAGGTGAGGAAAGGTAATAAAAGTCCTTTCACATAATAATAGAAGAATGGAAGAGAAGCACAATCAAAGAGATAATGGACAAAATGTCCCATAGTTGATACAAGACACCAAACCTGATTCAGGAGCCACTGCCCACTGCCCCCCACCAAAATCCCCAATACCATAAATCAAAAGAAGCCCATGTTAGACCTATTATAATGGCACACTAGTCACAGAGCAGATTTTAAAAACAACCAGAAAAAAAAAAGGCATTACGTACAAAGAAACAATTAGATTAACAGCTACTATCATAATGGAAGCCAAGAGACAGTGTTCAAAGTGCAGAGAATTCTATTTCCAGAAAAACTGTCTTTCACGGGTTCTAAAAACTACCTCAAACAAAAGCAGTAAAGTTATTTTCAAAAGAACACAAATTGAGGGTTTGTTACAAAGAAAAATGAAGTTTATTATCAACAGACCATTACTAAAAAGTCTAACAGATAAATTTCAGAAAAAAGGAAAATGATACAAGAAGGAAAGTCTAACATCTGAAAAAGAATAGTAAGCAAAGAAAATGATAAACATGTGGCATTATACTGAGAGGACCATGACCAATAAAGAATAAAAATAATGCCTAATTTTGGGGATAAAAATATCGAAACAGGAATAAGACCCTGGAAACAACAGCGTGTGCCATGGAACGGGGTGACTCGCATTAAAGTGCTCTAAGTCTCTTGTGCTGCTCAGGAGGCTGAAAACACCAGTGAACTTTAGATTCTGATAAATAACCACTAAGATTAGTTAATACACATAGAACTAAAAGGCAGAACTCCCAAACTAGTAGAGGGGAAATCACAGGGTAAAGGAGGAAAACAAATCCCCAGAACTCCAAAATATAGCAAGGTGGGAAACGAAGAAAAGAAGGGAGGAAGAGAAAGAGGGTAGAAAAGGGGGGCAAATAGGAAGTACAAAATCTGCTCCGAATGTATCAATCACTGCAAATTTGGTAAGTCACCTAATTAAAAGACAAATATTGTCATATTAAATAATAAAAATAAAATCAAAATCCTGGGGAGGAGAGGTGGAGAGGCACCAAAAGGCGGGGCACCGATGGTCATAGGCAGGAGAGCTGGGGCGGGGATTCGGGCCACGCGGCCTGAGAGTCTTATTCTTCGCCAGGACACTATTTATCGCCTTTAAAAAATGGTACAGTGGAAAATAAACATTATGAACTTACTTTTGAAATACATGACTTTATTTTTGAAACATCAACTATGAAATCATTTAAATAATAACATGACCTTTTAAAAAATAAAATAAATATTAGGGCCTCCCAATCTTTTAAAGTATATAGGGAATTTATATACCACATTTTAAAATCCAACCAATACTTTTGTTTTCCTTCAAAATAATACAGTAGAGATCTATAAACTTTATTTTTCATGAAAAACAACTGCAAAGAGACTGGCTTTTAATGGTTCTTAGGATACTTCAAAAATTAGACAGTAACACACATACCCAGTCACTGCTGTGTCTAGACTGAATTTTACACTCTAAAATTATAAAATTCTTATTACCGAAAGTATCAGAGACTATTACTTAGACAAAAAAATGTGTTTTAAGGTAAATGCTTACTCAGCAACTCAAATGTTTATTTTTAATAAACCACAGAACCAAGACTGTACAGAAGAGAACACAATTAACCCAGAGCCGCCTCAGGTTAACATCTTCAAGAACCAAGATGACAGAGGAAAAGTACCTCATGAAATGCATCAGGATCTCCAGGATTAAAAAGTGAGGGTAATTTATCTTCTAATCCTTGTACTATTTCTGGCCAGACAGAATTCACCAAAAAATCATATCCAGGAACAGTACTGTCTTTTTCACTGTAAGATAAGAGCAAAATTTCAAATTCACCATCATCTTGTGTGTACACAAAGCAAAATTCCATTGCAATTCTTTTACTAAAAGTTCCTCAGCCTAAAATGTATTACCTTTTTTTAAAAACTGTATTTGTGAATTAGTTTGTTTATAGACCCACACTTCCACTTCATTCCTTGGTCTTCGCTCACCTTGAACCTGACATTTTGCCTGTTAACCCTGACTCCTGTATCTCTCCAGCAGCAGAGAAAACTGGTGTTGAGGGTAAGGCAGAATCACTACATCAAATCATTTGGCACAATTTTCTCCCCTAAAATGTGCTACTATATTTACACTCTATCTTGGTAAAGAGAAGCAATCTTTGCACTCAACCAGACCACCACTAAACCCTAAAGCACTGTAAATTATGCTTATTTACCAATTACTAACAGCTTTGTGATGATTAAGCTAAGATGACCTTCAGTTCTAAAATTCTGTGACCATTTCACAAAAAATCTTAATGAAACTTGATACAAAAAACTGGTAACATTAATGTTTTTTGTGTGTTTAGGCTTTATTTTGCATTTTTTAGCAAAAGGCTGGATTTTGGAATTCTAATTCACAAACTTAAATGAGAGGCAACACTGAGAAAAAAGAATATAGGCAGTAAGTCCAATGTTGGGTCCTTTAACCTCTCTGTGTTTTGGTTTCTTCATCTTTGAAACGGGGATGATGGTAAACCTATCTCACAGGATCATCATATGGGTTGGTATTTCCGAAGCATTTAGGTGGTGCCCAGCATACAGTAAGTGTTGCTAGTTATTGTTAAAAACATTAAGTAAATAAATAAGGTAGGTTCCTCAGGTTTCTCAAACTTAAAAGACATATAAATATCTTCCAGGAAAATACCATCGCACTGATCTACCCACTTTGATTTTTGTATATTCAGTAATATGCTCTATCTTAAGATGATTTTCTTTAAAAATGGTCAGCAATTTAATATAGAGCTTTATTTTAGCATAACTGGGAGTTTTATAGATAAGTTGTGATACCAAATTGTGAAGTATTAAAAATAAACTAAGTATTAATAATAAACAGAAAAGAAGTTTTCACAATTTTCTTGCTTAGCAAAAATTATCAAGAAAGACAGGTCATCAAGGAAGAGGCTACACTGTACTGTCCAAGAAAGCCTGTCAGTCGTACTGTGGTTAAGCAATGATCCCAAAGTACTGGCGGGGTTGGAGCAGGGCCAGGGGGGGTTAAGATGCCTACTTCCTATAGACCCGATGTCACAGATCATACTACATACTTTTAATCTTAATAAGAACTAGCTCTATTAAGTTATCTGGAGAAAGATCAAAATGGAGGATTTTAAAACTACAGATGCACAGAATATAAGCCATATTAAATGATGACACTTCTTTACCCCCAAAGTATCTATTTAAAGCCTTAAAGAGAAAGCTTAACTCTGCAAGATTAATAGCTGAAACAGATGGCTAATTAGAAAAGCAAATACATGCTCTTTGGAAGATGAATCTTGAATGTGCCAGGGTTGTCAGTTATAAAGCGCATCGAGGGTGATACAGGAAAAAAGGGAAGAACAGACAAGGGAGGCACCGAGCACTCCCAACCCTGGAGGCCGGGCTGAGAAGGGGCGGCCGCGCAGCGTGAGGAGGGGCTTGAGGCAAACGGAGATGACCTACCAGGGCAGGTGAGGCTCCTCCAGTTTCCAAGGTTTCCACGTGAATTCTGCCTCACCGAAAGCCGCGGCAAAGCACTTACAAAGTGCCAGACTTGATTTCAGACCAGGACTGGCCTTGTCAAGTCAAACGACTAGTTGTTCTGTGACTGTGGCTTCCTTAATTTCACATCGTGACTTCTACTCAAATGCTTACCCCAGATCCAAATTCAACTGAATCCTCATGATTACTAAACAAAAGTGGCAACGCCTGGCTTCCTCTGAAACCAGGTAGTGGAAACAGCGTACCTCAGAGGTCAGGCAGTATAGTTGTTACCCCAGATTTTTTCCTTTTCAGAAACAAGAGCAAAAATTCAAGACCACACACACTGCTTCCTCCACGAAGAGAGGGAGCTTTTTTGCCTCTCTAATACTGAAAATAAATGATTTCACCTTGCAGCCATGGGGTAGTTGCTGTCTTCAGGACACTGTGCCTGAAGGAGACAGGGGCAGCGCAGGAGGTGAGTTAGGATGGAAATGAGTCCTCAACAGAAGTGGGGCTGGAGGGCCCAGAGGACAGTTAATGCTGCGCATCGGGAGAGAAGACGGCCTCCGGAAGGAAGTGGGGTCTGAGCTGGAGCTGCGTGTGGAGTGACAGGGCGAGAGGAGGACGAAGGGAATGGGAAGGGCAGGGAGAAATGCAGACAGCCGACGCCAGGTGTTAGGGAGGGGCAGGGTCCGCTGTGTGGCCGGAGAGCAAGTGGTATGGGGGGACATTCCATAGGGAGAACTAGGGGGCCAGAGCCTCATGGGCCTTACACGCTGAGTCAAGGGGCCTGCGTCTTCCTCTGTAAGCAATGAGAAGCCACCAAAGACTTATGAAGAAGGCAGAGCATGAGCACCTCAGAATCCTGGGTAAACGTGACAGCTGCGGGCTGGTCTGAAGCGCGAGGGCGGAGGCAGGGGGACCGGCGGCGGACAGCCTGTCATGCTGCACAAAGAGGGCAAAGGCCTGGACTGGGACACGGCGATGGCAGAAGGTAATGGGATAGTCATGGGGCAGGGCTGCAGTCCTGGAAATTCCTAAATGCAGGGAGACCTGAAAATGACTTTAATCACAATCAGTATAAAACCCGTTGAATGAAACTGAGTTGATATTTACAGACAGATTATGACATTAGATTAAGGGAGGGAAACCAATTTTGGTTTCACACCTGATCTAGGAAAAAGACAGTGTAGAGAAGTAAAGAGTACGGGCTTTGGATCCAGAGAGACGTAACTTTCAGTCTTAGCCTCACCCTACGGTTTCCTCATCTGCAGAAAGAGGCTACAGACCCCGCCTCCCAGCACTGTCGTCACAGCACGGCAAGGACATGTGCGTCCAGCTCAGATGAGGCAGCCGGTGCCGAGCAGCGCACCAGGAGTCGGCAGGGGTGAGCACCGGGCTGGGCGAGCACTCACAGCAGCTGTTACCTGGAGATGGATCCGCCTGTGACTCCTCGGAGAAGGCGGCAGTGGTGAGGAACAAACGCCAGGAGTTTATTGTACATGATCTGGAGGCCACCCGGCTGGGACATGACGACGTGCTCTACGATCACCTAGAAAAAGGAATGTCATTTTTTTTAAAAAAAGCATCTAAAAGAGAACTACCTACTACAGTATGAACTACCTACTACAGAGAAAACAGAGAAAAATCTTAAAAATGTGCTTCCTGATGGCCATCCTCATCCCCAAATGACCTTTAGGTAAATAAAAGCTACACTCAGAACTGGTTCCCGGGATAGGTCAGAGTTCTGGCCCTGGGGGCGCAGGGGCTGGGGGCCAGAGCCTGGCCTGAAGCTGAAGAGCCAGCACGGTCTTCTGCTCCCCTTTGGGGCCTGACAGTGGGTGATTCCCCACCACACGGCTCCGTGCTGCCTCGGCTCTTCTTCTGCCGCTATTCAGACGTGGGGAAGGTTTGGGACGGAGAAAGACAAGAAAATACATTATATATCTTACTGTGGTCAGGTTGAGAGTCGAGAGGTGATGAGATTAAACATCCAAGTAAAATAAAATAAAAATGTGGCCATGGTTTATTTAGTATTCCACTGAAACTTCAAATATTTCTTCAATTTACTACACTAGATTCATTCAGTGAGAACCAAAGGCATAAATTACTAACTGAAATATTATCACTTATTGATAAAGAAATGACATAGGTCATTCGTCTTTTCCAGCTCCATTGAGATGGCTGTGAAATACAACAGGATACAAAGACGAGACTGACAGACCACTTATTTTCAGTAATCCTAATGAACTGCATGGATTATCTTTACTGATTCTTAAATTTTATTTTTATCAATGGAATTCTAATTTCCCCTCTTAAAAATGAAAGACTTTCATCCTGAGGTCACGATCCATAGAAACTTTGAACTTTCTGGATAGAAAGAGCTTTCAGAGACAGGTCTGGAAGGACGTCTGCAGATACTGAGGACGGGCCTGGCGACGTCTATCAGTTTGAACCAGATGAAGATGCCATTTTTGTGTGTGGAAATACTGAGTACTGGCAACTTGCTACAGTGCAGCCTATAATCTGGCTGCTCCAAGGCAGCATACACTTACTCCTATATTTTAACTGTATCCTAACAGGTCAATGATACTGGGTAGCTGAGTTCTGGACTTAATGTATTACTCTGCTCATTTAGCAGCCTGTAAAAGTCCTTCACCTTTTTTATTCCTTCCCTCCCACCTTCCTGGCCCAGCAAACTCCTCCACATTTTCTAAGACTTGGGCCCAATTTATTCTGGGAAGAGCTCCCTCCCCACGGACTTTTCACGTTCACAGAGCTCTCTGCACACTCCCCCACCAGGTAGGCTCACTGCAGTGCTGTCATCTGCTTCACTGTTCTCTTCTACCCACGAGGCCGGTTGTTCAAAGACGCTATCTGACAACCTAACTGACATTTAACTTACACACCATAAACCTGACCTAGAAGTAGTTTGGTACATACCTTCTTCCTAGGCAAGACCTTCACCCCCCCCCTAAATTAAGATGATCTCTGGGCTATGGCCTCACTAGAATATATTACAGGGCACGCAGGATTCCTAGTATGCTGACTGTGGCCAACAGGAACCAACCCTTTTTACAATTGATGCTGCAGTAACTACAAGAATCTCCCCAGAAAGAGTGCTGCTCTACCCCCACACAAGAGCAGATGCTCCACGGCCGCTGGCTGAAGACCCAAGGCACACACACCTCATCCACATATGGTTTCACTAGCACCTGACCAAGTAAGGCCTCTGCGTCCCGTGTCTTGTCAATTGTGGCATAGGTCCGTAAGCAGTGCCGTATTATATCAACGTTGGAGGTCTGAAGCCCTTCTAATAGGAGGCCTTCCAGCGACTGTTGTAACATGGCTGTTATACCAGCTATACGCTGCAAGAAGAAATAGGTAAGAAAGTTGGAATACCTTCTAAAAATTCAAATATTTACATACCAAATCTATTATTCTAATAGAATACATGCAAAATGAAAATATTAACACTTCCTGTACAGTAACAATGAATCTCTTCTCCCTCCTAGTCTCTTCATCAGTGAATCTTTGCTTCCTCAAAGGAGAATTTAGACAAAATTACAGAATGACAAAAAAGTTATTTTTCTCTTAAGCTACACAATAAGTCTTACAAACATCATGAATCTAAAGCCCAGTCAAGGACTTTGGATAAATTAGCTCTTGTTACATCATATATGTCAATTTACATGAAATTCAGGATTCGTTTTACTCTTACAATTCAGAGAACACGCCTGTGTTTTACATGAAATCACCAATGTGTGGCATTCAGGAAGCAGGGGCGCAATAAACAAAAACTGAAAAAATTCTGAAGTAGTTTCAGAATCCTGTAGGTCAATAATTATTAGAAGCATTACTAGGTGAAAGCAAAACTATTTAGCAAATTCCTAAACAACAACTGTGGAAATCTAAAACACTTACTGGTCTTACTGTGTCCAAAAGAGGCATGCCTTTGCTTTGAATAGCGTGAAACTGTAACTGGTTAAATTCTGTGGCAATTCTCTCCAAAATCTGTCCAGTCAAAAGTGGCCTGGTAGAGACAATTACAGAAATTTAGTTCTATAGAAGTTTACAATATAGAAATTAAAGAAACACTTTAGAAAAATAAAGTGTTTTCATTTCCGAGAGAACAAATCACACAATTAGCGGTGGCGGTGCTCCAGCACCTGCCGTGTTGTGACTTTCTCCAGAGAGGGTTTTTCCAGGGCCCCCTCATCTCCAGGGGAAAACTAACACGCCTTTCACGCCTCCAGTTCCCACCATGGGCCGCAGGCATCCACCGCTCCAGGTGCCCGGGGGTGGCAGCTAAGTCCGCGAGCCCTGCTGCTGCTTCGGTGAGACCCGGGGGCCGCACGAGGTCAGGGCGGGCACAGCCGCGGGTCCCCACCACCTTCCCAAGGCTCCGCTGCCCATGACCGCCTTCGTGGTCAGCCTCCCTTTCCTCTCTCCCTTGCCCTATCCTATTATTCACACCCGAGCCCTCTTCTTTTCTCGACCTGTCTCATTCTCCCTTTGTCTAAAACACCAAATGCTTTTGTCCCAACAAAGTAAAACTGTCCCTCTAACAGCAATAAACAAAATATCGCAGAATAGCTTAACTTGAAATTTACATTCACCAAATAAAAGAGCAGTCAGTCTCTATGTTCTGGGTCCTAGACAGAGGACATTCATTGTGTGTCTGCCACAAGGTGTAATAAATGCTTTTTTCCCCTAAAACACAGTAGATAGCATCAATTCCACCCAAAAGGAAGTAGCAAAAGAAGAAAAATATAAAGGCATTAAAGCATCTGCTGGGCTTTCCTGAGGCACCCTGTACCTGTTGATGACCAATCAGTTAGGGAGGGGAGAAATCCACACCAGGAGAAATGTGAAATGCCACCATTGACCATCAGTGGTCCACCCAGCCCAGTATTTGTAGCCTCCAAATTAGTTCAGAGGGACAGTAATTGCCCAGCATGACCAACGCAAAAGGTTAACTCCTAACGCTTTTCTGAATGACCTAGTGTACATTTATTCTTCATAAATTACCTAAACATTTTTTGCCCTAACAAGCATGATGTATTAACCACACTCACTTACACTGTCCCGGTTTCCCCTTCTCTACAGCTCAAAGGTGCTGATCTGAGTTAAGGAAAAGGTCCTCAAAGGTGATTCTGGGCAAGGTAGAGTATCATGTCTATTGTGTTAAAGATGCAACGCTGCAAAGGAACAGTGATCACAGGTATTTCTGCCAAGGGAGCAGAGGAGGACCGGGCAGGATGGAAAGGAAGCCAGGAGGCAGGTGCCACGGACGCTGAGAGGGCACAGGTGGTGGGGCTGTCAGCACTTCTGAGCACACCAGAGATGCAGGGCAGTTCACGACACACGGGCTACACGGGACTGGTAAGGATGGACGTTCATGGACATGCTGATAAGCACCGACTGAGGACGTGGAAAGGGCCGAAGCACACACGCAGGGGCCTGAGGAAGCAAACAAGGCAGCTGCTGACCATTCACCCATCTTGACTATGAAAGGAAGCAGTGACCTAGGCCCCAAGAAAGACTTCCTCGCGGAACGTTTCATTTTGTAATCTGTGTAACAACAGGACACAGAGCATACTGTCTCTAAGGTCCCTTCCAAATTGAAATTTTAATTCCTAAAATTGAGAAACCCAGGATGCCTCTATAGCATGACCCAGACTTGGAACTACTTTGACTTTGGGCTTCAGCTGGTTTTGCAGCAAATTATTCACAACTACTCACGGAGAAATGGTGCGGCTGTCAACAAGACTTCATAACAAACCCAAGTGAGACATGACAAGGGCCTACTGTGTGCCAGGCACCAGCTGACGGGACCCCACTGACTGTCAGACAACCAAGCGGGGTCATCACTAGCCTTCCGTTCCAAATGACACCGAAAGCTTAAGTCCCTCGACGCAGGCTGCCCAGCTGGTACATGCAGTACACAGACCCATGCTTTTCCCACTGTACCACATGCTGATCTCATCTGCTCACCCAGCTCGCTGACGTGACGTTCAGACTAGGCAGGTAGTTGGAGTCCAGTATAACAAAGGAAATGGTTGCCATTTTTTTACTATACAAGCTTTTTATTTCCTGTTTATTGATTTCAACTAAATGTGTCCTATACTATTTCTTAGAGGTATAGTGCTTGCACAAGACACATCAGCAGTCATACTCTGCACAAATCCACAAAATCTGGCAAGATGAATGCTCTTCCACTGCTTGAAGACCAACAAGGATCTTGTAGCCCTCACGGAAAGTAATTCCAGAGAGAAATCTTCACAGTGGGCACCCTGAAGGTGACATGCTGGGACCGTGGCCTGTGACCGAAAGCTGTGCAACACCGTGTTCTAGCATCACCGCTTCACGCACTCCACTTTCCTGAGTTTTGTTCAAAAACATTAAGCCTTAGGCTTGGATTTTCCTCTTTTTCAGAAATAAGTTCTAATTATAAAACAGTTTTTTAGCCTCGGTGTGAAGTATTAATTTAGTAAAAAATACTGACCTGCTTACTTCTAGGGCAGATGTTTCCTTAGACCTTTGAGAATTTAAGATTTTTTCAATTTTCTCAACTGATCGAATAACTTGGATAAGCCTCAATACACACATCTATAAAAATAAAAATTAAGGGAAAATGTTATACTATATTTAGTGTTACTGATCTTAGTGCCCCATGCTAAATGCAGGAAAATGCAAAGCCAAAAGTCAATTTAGAATTATTTCAAGCATCCTACACATTTTAAATATTTCTATAAACACTGACTTCCCAGGAAAGCAAATCTTAATTTTGGATTTCTAGAACATGTACATTTCAATATTCAGCTGCAAGTTTATGGTTAAAAAAAAAAAATCTAGACTTTTCTGCTTTCTCATTTTCTGCACTCTTATTCCTTCTTTCTTTTTCCCATCTTAAGTGAACCTCTCTATTGGCACTACATTTATTTCCTTGTGACCTTTTTTCATGTTTTAATTCTAGTGTCTGATATTTATCCTCTCAGTTTACTCACGCATGATATACCTACATGTCTAAGTGTCAATTCACTGAAGACATTATTACATTATAAATATCAATGGGGTTGAAGAACATTATAAAAATTCTCATCCTTAGAAGAACATACAGATACAAAGTCATTCATGAAGCAAACAGTTACTGAGCACCTACTGGTAAGCTCGACATTCTCCTAGAACATGAGGCCATCAGTGAGCAAAACAGGAGAGACTCCCCGCTCTCGTGAAGCTTACAATCTTTTCTAGAAATGTACTATATTCCTGAAATATCTGGACAAGAGCTGAGAGGAGAGCTAATGGAGAACTGAGTGGCAGGTCTGTAAAACAGGCCTTTTCCCTCGGGATTTTAAAAAATATGTTACTGAACTTAGAAAACAATGGCCAGAGCACCGCTAGAGTCAGAAGCCGTGAATGCCGACCCAGCACTGCCATTACATGAAGATGATCAGTAAGACCGGAGAACGGAATCAAGACGAGGACCACTGAACGTGAGCGCAGTGCTTGGAGAAGCATATTAAAGGGGGGAAACAAAGGAGAGATAAACACGGCAGGACGAGAGAGCAGAACGCTACTTCTCCCAAAACAACCTGCCACGGGACACTGGGAGTATTTGCTCTGGAGAGCCCGGTTAGGCCCCGCCTCTACCTACGAGTACCTTCTTTACCGGCACGCCAGAAAGGTACATGCCTGTTAAGCTGTGAAGTGCCTCACTGATACTACTACTGTTTACTGAACTAGAAAATATGAGGAATCTAAACTTCGCGACCACTCAGGTGCCTCTAAAATTCTGTCTTACTTCAAACAGGTAACATAACATTATAATGCATAAAAATATACATACAAAACACCTTTAAAAAACCAGTTTCACAGTACTGAGAAGTATGAGAAGGCCTGAGGGGAGGGTTTTTAGCTGGCATGGAGCATAAGAAATCTATTGTCTTCTTTAAAAACTTTAATGCTACCATGAATAAATTAAAACACAAGGAGAGTATGCGATTTCCTTTGTCTTTTTAAAAAATCAACTAATTTACCACGGTCCTTTTATTAATGGGACATCAGTCACAGGGGTGACAAGACCAGGCTCCAGCTCTGGAGCTGAGCTACCGATGCCTCCAGCCGAAGCGCCCACTCCCTCTCCGTGAAGGCCCTGGAGGCGGCGGCCAGACCGCCCCGGCTCCCAGGTGCTCCAGGGAGTCCATGCGACACTGGTGCGTACCTTTTTTTCCCTAATGTCCACTTGTTTAGACATTCGTTCATCTACTGCACGGATTCCTTCACTGACGGATGACCTAAGACTCTTTAAAAAAACAAAGAAAATGTACTGCAGAAATTTATTTGTAACATTACAAAATTTATACATGTAACTCAATTCCATAGAACTTAACATCTATAGGCCAAATTATGCAGATAGTGACAAAAATACAAAATACTGGACACAACTGCCGTCGAGGATACTCATGATTTGGGGGTAAGATGACACACAGAGAGCTGAGGTCACACAGAATTAGTGGCCAAGAGAAAAAAAATACATACACAATGAATGTCATAGGTGGTCAGGGCAGAGAAAGGATAATCTGAGTCAAAGTACAGGAGAGTCTGGAAAAGAATTTGGGCTGGAGTCTGACTCTGAAGACGTGTGTACGCTGGCAGCAGTGAGCAGGGGGTTATCAGAGGGCAAACACAGGAGGAGACGACCGCGCGTGCCAGACGCAGGGACAGGGAGACACGCACCTGGGCGCACTGCCGACTCCCCTTGCAGAGAGGCAGAATTTAAGAGGGACGGGCTAATTCAGGAGGACTCTACTCAGATAAGGCCTTTACGCTGGACTCTATATTTGGAGAACTAGAGAATGCTGAAGCACTGATATACCATGGAATGTTCGGGAATATTAGGAATCAAGAAACGAGGAACAGGATGGCCAGAATATGGGAGAGGTCATAGGTGGAGAAACATGTCCAGAAGCTAATGAATCTCGTCAAGTATGAGGTGATTGGGAATCAGAGCCAAAACAAAGGTAATGGCACCGACTGGCACCAGACAAATCCCCACCATTCCACAGAGAGGTGAACTAACTCATTCAATAAACATGATGAAATACTAACTGTCAGCTATTGTGGAAGCCAGTAAGGACACAAGGAGGAACAAGGCAGAAATAGTCTTATCCTCCAGGGGTCTTAGAACCTCACGGAGCAGCTTCATGAGTTGAGATCAAAAAGCGAGGGAAGGTCTGTGGCTGATTAGGAGAAAAGTGGCTATAAAGGTGGCTGTGGAAAAGGGCAGGGATAAGATGCTGGCAGGTGGCGAGGCAGGACCAGATCCTGCATGCAAGTGGCAGCCCAGGAGGTCCAGAGCAGAAGTCAGCAGAGCAGATCTGCCTGCAGGAAGTCTGGGGAGAAGAGCGGACGGTAAAGGAAGGTGAGGCTCAGGGCACACCACAGCCACAGGCTGGAAGGGAGGGGGTGGCGCGCCAGAACGACAGCCGGAGCGCCACCCGCAGGCTGCTGTGGGGTCCAGCTGTGGGGTCCAGCAGCAGGCCACAAACCACTTTTCTTCCATTCCAAAGAAAAGCACATGAACAGGCTTTTGCGACATTCAAACAAGATGTAAACACTCACAAATAAGTGCCAGTTCAAGGCACAGCTCAAAACTTACTTCTTTTATGACATCTTTTCTGCCTACCCCTCTTCTGGATTTCTCAGAATTGACATTTATTATTCTGTGTTTTTAGTTTTTTTTCCAGCTTTATCCATGCATTGTGTCTTTACTTACAAGGTGCCAGGCACTGTCTTAGGGGCTGCGTGTGAGAGGCCACTCAGGCTGGTGTGGCCTAGTGGGGATACACATGGGAAATGGGGTACAGTGCACCACGTTTATGGCAGGGCATCACAACTACTCGAGACGGGGCGTCCAAGGCCTGAGCCTGACAGGACACCGGGCAAGGACAGGGCAACGTGATTTTCTGCTGGAAGTGATGCCAAAACTGCCCCCTACTGTTCATCCAGGAGGAGTCCCGCTTCCCAGGGGCTTAGAGGTGGGGGTCCCGCAGCACATTTTCCCAGAGAAGCATTAAATTTAACATTTATTAGGCATTACATTTTATTATCCCTTGGATACATGAGATGTTAAACAGCTTTTGTGAACTGGTCTAGGAATCTAACCACATTGAAAACATTATTTGGGAAAATACTTGTAAAATTACAAATTTTTAAGATACAAGCCATTCATAAGTTGGAGACCATTTACATATGAGTGAGGCGGCTAAAACAAGCTGAATTTGGAAGTGCCCTTCTCTTCCCCTAACATTTTAAGCCATCTACTCGCAGAATCTGTCATTTTCAAATCAAATATGTTTCTTAAGTTGTAACAAACCAAAGAACTTTTTAGTTTTATTTTGTGTCTGACTGTAGGAAGTTGACAACTTCTTTGAGGGTGAAAACTACAATCAGGAACCATTACAAAACAACAAACCTAGCAGATTAAAAAAGGANTCCATTGCCATAAAATAAGGACCAAGGATATTTAGTTAAAATAAACATATGAAGATATGAGCAAAACATGTATCTTTCACACTCTTTGCTTCTATTTGCAGCGTAATAATACAAAAAATCCCAATATATATTCAGTTTTCCTCAAGTTGTTTGTGTTCCCAGGTGTTTCCCTGCTCCTCAATCACTCTTTTAGAATTTTGCCCTTGAACAATGCCTTTATAGAAGTGAAATGAACAGTGCTGAGTCTTCGATAATACCGTGACCTTGCTTTGTATTGACGAAAAAATCTCTAACAGCTGGTTTTTATGTACTGCATGTATTGATGTGTTTCTGAAGGTCCAGATCAGTGAATAGAAGCTAAAACTGTACATTCTCTTTGTAGATGTTTTTTAAAAATCCTTTAAACCACAGAGATTTTTGGCAATATCATTTCAGATTGAATTTGCACTTTGAAACTTAAACCAAGTAATCCTTCTAGTGTTTATCTATTTGAAAGTTTTCATATTAGTGAGATATCTATGCTATTACACTTTGGTCCCAGTAGCTTTTCTAGGTAAAACCATTACTTTCTGGAAGCTCACTCTTAGCTGCAAAAGGTTTGCTCCGACCTGAAGTGGAACATAATGGCAACTGTTTAATGTAACAGTTTAAATAAACTGCATACCCTATTTTGACTAACTTTTATTCAACATTCTGGAAATATTGTTAAGTAATATAGATATGAATTCTGCATATTAAAATTTATATGCATTATTTGATATTCCATTGTAACTATAATATAAATACTATCTAAATTATAATTTAGACATTTCCTGTCATGTGAAATAAAGTCAAGTATCTTAATGTTCTTTAAACTATCCTTTCTTAGACCCTTTCTTAGGGACCATGTGTTTCTTCATTACCTAGCGCTGTAATAGAATTCTTTTTAATACTTACTAATTTCGAGAATCTACATATGTTTATTTTCTATCAAGATAAGTTTCAATTAAGATAGAGTTTCAATAACATTGAGTTCTGATTACATAAATGTAAAATGTATTTGTGCTAGAAAATTTGGAAAATTCAGAGAACTATAAAGAATAATAAAAATCATCACTAAAAACTTCTTAGACAGCATTAAAATTTGGGTCTGCCTCCCTTTAAGCATTGATCTATGTGTTACCTACATAGGAATATGGGTGCGCAGTGGAGGGAGAGGGAGAAAGAGGTGTGTGTGTGTGTGTGTGTGTGTGTGTGTGTGTGTGTGTGTGTGTGTGTGTAAATATACTGAGAGGTAGGAACTGTGGATTAAAGGTTTACCAAGTTTGTTGAAAGGTTGACGAAATCTGCATAGTCCTTGTTGATGAGTTCGACCATGGCGGTCTTAAGAAGCTTATAGTAGAGTTCCAGGTCGTCTCGCAGTTCTTCCAGTTGGACATGCTTCCTGCAGTCAGATACAAAATGATCCACATCGAAATCTTCCTAAACATAAAGCCAGGAAAGAAAAAAAATTATTATAATGATATCACAGTTTACATACAAAAATAAGAAGAGACAAACAGTAAGAAAGGCAAAAGGCCCAGAATAGTCAACACAATTTGAAGGAAAAAAGCAAACCCAGAGGACTGATATCGCCCAACCTCAAATGTTACTGCTAAAGCTACTGTTACCATAGAGTGGCGCTGGCCGGAGAGGAAACAAATCGGTGGAACAGAACAGACAGCCTAGGAGTACGGGAAGGCAGTTCACGGAGAAAGGACAGTCTCAAGCAAATGGTACTAGAACAACGGGACATCCACACGGAAGAGAAAAAAAATGAAGACATAGACTTTTCATAAAAAATAAACTGAAAATAGATCATAGACCTAAATATAAAATGCAAAACTTGTAGAAGGCAACACAGGAGAAAACCTAGGTGCCCTTGGATTTGGCAATGACCAATGCCAGAATCTTAAACAACCTAATTTTAAAATGGGCAAAAGATCTTTAAAGATGCTTAACATCTTAAGTCATTAGGGAAATGCAAATTTAAGTGAGATACTATCACATATCCATCAGAATGACAGAAATGCAGAACGCCACTGTTGAGGGCACGCAGCGGATGTCGGCAGGAATGCAAAACAATACAGACGCTTGGCAGTTCTTACAAAACTGAACATACTCTTACCGTATGACCCAGCATTTTGCCTTCCTTATAGTTGCCCAAAAAAGCTGAAAAGTTACATCCACACAAAAACCTGAGCACACATGTTTATAGCAGTTTTATTCCTAACTGTCAAAACTTGGAAGCAACCAAGATTTTCTTCAATAGATGAATAAACTGTGATACAGCCACACAATGGGATGTATTAGTGAGCGATGATCAAGAAAGCCAATCACTAAGCCCGAAGACATGGAGGAGCCCTAAACGCACGCTGCTGGGTGAGAGGCCCTTCTTCTGAAAAGGCCAGATACTGTGTGACTCCGACTACATAACATTCTAGAAAAGGCAAGACTTGAAAGAGACACTAAAAAGACCAGTGACTGCAGGGCTGAGGGTACAGAAAGAGGAAAAGAAATGAATAGGTGAGGTTCAGGGCTTTTTAGGGCAGTGGACCTGTTCTGTATGATACTGTAAGGACAGATATGTGGGCATCACCAAGACCCACAGAATTTACAACCCAAGACTGAACCTCTATGTAAACTATGGACTCCAGTTAATTCTTCATCAGTATTGGTTCATTAGTTATAACAAAAACACCACAATAATGCAAAGTATTAGTGACAGGAGAAACCATGAGAGGGGTGGAGAAGGGATAGATGGGAATTCTTGCTTTCTGTTCATATTTTTATAAAACTGCTTTAAAAAACAGTCCATTTATTTAAAAACTACCTCTAAGGTAGATGAACTTTCTTTCACTTCTGAAAAATAAGCTATTTTCATTAAAAAGCATTTTTGAGGTGGACTTTTTCTTTTATTAAAATATATGCTTTCTCCTATGTCTGAAAAGCTGGAGGGAGTCAAAATTACTGTAAGTCTGAAATTAGAAGAAAAATAGTTTTTCTTTATACTTGGAGGTATTTCTACTTGAACCCAGATGAAGTACAAATCTCCCAAAAGGCCAGAAGTTGTGAAATCACAAGGGGTATTGGAAAAAAGGAAATAAATCAGCAAAACAGACCAGTTGGAAGCAATTTAAGAACCATTAACAAGAGTAGCAGTGACAGCAATCAAATTTTAAATCAAATAAAGTTTAAGCATTGAGCTCGTTTAATAATTAGCTGCATTCAGGAATGACAATGACTGACAGAAGTTGGGAATTATTATTTAAAACTTAACTAAGACACAAATATTAGTATCTTTAACACTGAAAGTTTCATAGAACTTTCAAGAGGTCAAAATTCTTTAAGCTGCATCATGCTGAATGCTAGGAGGTGAAACATTTCTCCAATATTATTCCCCATGGAATTACAAATATATACATATATATATGTATGTAAAACTATAATTCCCCAATGGAATTATAAAATCACTACCTACTCTATCCATGACAGAACCCCCAACCCCCAGATCATCATTCTGAATTCATAAGCATGGGAGGCATTACAGAAAGGGGCCATGAAGTCTAAGATATGATCTCTGCTCTCAGAACACGCTCAATTTCATTGAGACAAAAATACGAAAGTGTTAACCTGTGCACTAAATGAAATAAGCATAGAAAGAAATAAAAGGTTAGTAAGAGCTCATGCACATGTTTTGAATCATTCTTGAAGGGCAATGGACAACAGAGATGAACAAATGTCCTTGCATATTCAATCAATATTACTTAAATATTTACTATGTGGCTGTCTTGCCAGTGGGTTTCAGCACGTTCTTGGGGAGAAAGGGTTTATTAGCTGGCTTGTTCTTCCGGGGATGGGCAGAGCACTAGAATTCCCTCTGCATCCAGCAGTCTGCAGGTCTGTAATCCTCCAGCTTTGCTGCCGTCGCTGCCTCCGCCCAGAGCACTGGGCAGAGCTCCTTATATTGACTCAGTCAACAATAGCTTATTGCCTATGGGTGTGGAAGCAGTAGCCTAGCACTAGGCCAGTTAAATCAAGTAGTTTAGGTTCAAGGGGGCATCTGGGCCACAGGAACTTCCATTTTCTCCACAGTGGCCCAGGCCCTGCTCTAAGCACCGAAGACGCAGCCAAAAAAGAAAGACAAGGTTCCTACCCTTAAGGAGCACATATTCTAATGTAGAAATGAGAAAACAAAATGTAAACAAACATGATCTTAAACAGTGAGGAATGCTGTGGCTAAAGTGAAGGTCCCTGTGGCCAGGATTCTCACCTGGTCCTGGTTGGCTAGCTCACTACACATGTATGGGCAATATGTCATTACTGACTCTATATAAAGAACCTTGCCCAGTGCTCTCAGCGACACGGAGGTGTGGCTGCAGGACTGCAGGAGAGCAGGGACGAGACTGGGGTGGTGGCAGCGCTGAGGGCGGAGACTGAGACAGCTGCGGGGCAGAAAGGCCCAGAGGCAGAGACCGGCTTGCTGCGTGCAGATTCGCTCTGAGTGGACAGGATTCTAGTGACTGACCTGCCACCGTGGGAATGAAGTTGGGTATAAACCCTTTCACCCCAAGAATGTTTCCTTGTCATTTCTTTGGTCTCCATGAATCCATAGGGAACTTGTTCAGGGCTGAAACCCCAACTTGGCAAGACAAATGCTAAAAAGAAAATGAAGGGGGATGTTGTTGAATGACACACGGGAGCTAGCCATGGGAAAAACTGGGAAGTTTCTACCTGGGAGAACAGCGAGTGGACAATAATATCCCTGGAGCTCTTTTTTCCTCAACTCTAGCACCGACCGACGCACCGACGTAGGGTGGCCCACAGGCATGTGACATATTCCGGAACTTGGGTCTCCCAAAGCTCATTCTAGATCTTTATTTTCTTACCAAATTATTCAAGCTTGAAAAATTAAAAATGTATGCTAAAGTATTCTTTCCACCGTCTATGGCCAGATAACCTTAAAAGTATTATGAAATACTTAACACTTAAATTCTAAGGAACTCATGTTCTAGCAGGTTGCGTATTTTGATGTCTAAGGTAAACTATATCCTGTAAATGTACTTCTCCGCCTGACAGACATCTGAGGCCCTAAATATGCTCTGTTCCAGCTGATTTCTTCTTTCTCCTTCTCCCTTAATTTAACACTAGCCAGAACCTATGTGGTGTTTTAGCTCAATTTGTTCAACTTTGTCTTGAGCTATTTAGTGGAATGATCTGGTTCTGAAGTCTTAACTACTGGCTGCATATTAGAATCACCTGAGGAACTTAAGAAGCAAAGCCTAAGCCCCAATTTGTGGTTAAGTTGTTTAAATGTTTAAAGAAATTCCATGTTAATGCTATAAGACTAATTATGTAACAAGAAGATATATTTACATAATATATATTTTCTGTCTAGTTCTGAACAAAGAAACATCACAAGTAATAACTCAAAGGGTCACAAGTTCAACATTTTATTCAAATAATAAGTTCTATAATATTGCAGGAAGCAGAGTGGAAAATCAAAATCAAGGAAAACACAAAAAACTTTTTGCAAAGAATCTACCAAGTGCCAACCAAGGTAATTTTATGTCTGATGTTACTCATATCATCAAGAAAAGTATTTCACAAATACAGATTTTCTATAAAATGAAAGGCAGCCTAACTTCCATATATGGCTAATTCAAATTTTTTGTGGCAAGCAGTCAACAGTATTGTTTATGTCTTGTCTCAAACTGAAGCTGAAGAGAATTCGAGCATTTTATCAAGACTTGGTGTCAAATGATGAACCTACAGGGCAGGCGCTTGGTTACTGGAAACGCAGGTGGCTCATGGGAGCGCAGGGCGCTGGGCAACACTGACTGCCGGTTTCAAACTTTCCTTCCTCCTTTTCTGCCTGCCACTGTTCCTGCTGTCAGCAGTCCGCCTCTTCCCTCGTCATATTAACTGGACCTAACCTGCAGGCCAAGGGTCTGGATCACTAGACTTGTCAGAATTCCTTCTAAAATAAGACACAGCCCTCAGTTTCTTCCCCACTGATGAAATGCAGAGCTTCAGCAGGCGGACTTGGGGCCACCTCTGGGCTATTCCTGCTGATCCTCTGATCACCCCACTTCCTGACATTGCCGCCAGTGGCCTCTGGAAAGGAAACTATTAATACCATCACCTGCCCAGGATTGGAGCCCAGGAATAAGGAGACACCCCAACCAGCTGTGTGACTTGGGGGACATGAGTGACACCACTGGGCCTCAGTTTCCTTATCCGCAAACCAGAAAGACTATCGTGTCTTTCTTTCACAGAAACAAACTGTCAAGAGCAGGGAGAGACTGAAAAGATGATTTAGATAAGCGACACCCCATTTTACTAACAAGGAAGCTGAGGCCCACAGATGCCAGTGGTGTGCCCTGCCTCACACCAGTGGGCAGCAGAGCTGAGCCTGGGGCCTACATCTCCAGGCCAGCGCCACTGCCGAGCCCTGAAAAGCTGGTCACTGCCCCTGTTTCATGTCTCCACTAGTGCACATGCTCCTGGAGAGCAGGGTCACCCCAGGACACCGGTCCTGTTGCAATATTCCCAACTCACCCAATTAGAACAGGGAGCTTCAATGACTCTTTTATCTTCTACTAGACTGTTAACATACTGCAGATGCTTAAAGTCACCATCAGGAGGATTCTCAGTTGCTCTTTTCATTGAGAGGGTTTTGTGTGCCTGCCCAGGTGCCAACAAAGCCACTGAGAGGTGGGGGCTCAGAAAGGATCTGCGGGATGGTTCAGGGGAGGCGGTTCTGGCTCAGCACAGAAACAACCTGTCTGCCAGTAAAAACTGTCCAACAGTGGATGAGCCACTTCAAATATTTTCAACTGCTTTGGAAAATGTTTTCTTTGATCAGGGGTCTAGCTACCTGTCACATAAAGCCTGGAAATGCACTTTAAGAGCACCCTGCCTGCAATGTAACACAGACTAGAAGGGAGCGAGAACAGGCGTGAGGAGGTAGCGAATGGGGCCTCTGCAGCCCAAAGGTGTGAGATGATAACGTGGGGGCAGCAAAGGAGGAGATGCGGAGGAGTGGACGGATTCAAGAGGTATTTAGGAACTGAAATCCACAGGGCTTGGTAACAGGTCTGACTCTGGGAAGATGATGCAGAGAGGAGCTCACTCCTGGTTTTCAGACTCACAACTAGACGGACGGCAGAGCATTTGCAGAGACAGGTAAGAAAGCTGGTGTGGGGGAAGGAGGTGTTCAGAAATTCAGTTTTGAACATAATGAGTTTGAGAAGCCACAGAGATATCCAAGAAGAGACGTAAGGGAGAGGAGTTCAGTACTTGGGACTGGTGCTCAGGAGACACCTGGGCCAGAGAACAAATCTGCCATCGGTCACTGAAGCTGCATGCAGGATCATCTCGAGAAAGGAGAGGACGTGGGATTGAGCCCACAGCTGGCCCCTTAATGGCTACAAGAAGGAGAATAATTGTGCACAGGAGACAGACAGGAGAGGCAAGAAGACCATCACCAAGCAATGAGGAGAGCATCTGGCCTGCTGCAGGACCAAGTATGGAGAGAGAAAAAGGAATGCTGGGTTGACTCACACCTTGTTAACACTGGTGAGGACTGTTCAGTGAAATGACCAGGCCAGAAGTCAGAATGAAATGAGTTTAGGACTGATGGTGGGAATTTGGCTGCAGCGTGGAAGAAAGTGGCAGAGCAGTAACAGGGGGTGGGCAGGAGCAAGCGGGAGAGACTACTACGGGAGTGTGTTTGAAAGCCGGTGCCAAGGACTACAGAGAAGGAGGGATAAAAACAGGGTCCTGAGAGGGCAGGAGGGTGGGCTCCCAGCACGGCTGCAAGAGCCAACCTGAGGGGGGAGGAGAGCCCCTCCACGTACTAGGCGAGGAGGAGGATGGTACGCGTACAAGCCTGGGGCTGCTACCAGCAAGATGGAGGTCCCATTCGACGGCCTCTATCTTTTCTGTAAAATGGGCTGAAACAGCCTGCAATGTAACTGATTTCAACATCATCCCTCAGCAAAGGAATGTGATTTGTCTTTCTCAGCACCTATCACCAGTATATCTTACATCCTCTTTCATCGATTAGAGGTCGTCAATGCTTTCTAGGGATTTTGCTACCTTTCTGAGGCTGACAAAGTTACCAGTCTGATGTCACCACCCCGTCTGCATCATGCGATTCTTCCACCTGCCGCTTCTGCCTTTTGATCACCTACATCTTTCACAAACCTTTTGCCTCTCCTGTGTTTCTCACTTGATCTCATAAGGTCCTTGACGTAACTTTTTAAGAAGCCTTCTGCCACCGGACAAACCCCTCATAGACAAGGCTCAGAACAACCTGCGACCCCGCCCACCTCCCCTTCTGCCTCTCCAGTGCCATCCTGGCCATTCTTCCATACTCCAGCCACTCTGGACTGAGCACAGTTACCCGGCACACATGTTCTTCTTATCGCCACACTCAAGATGAAACTATATTTCATCTACCTTTGTACCATCATGTCTAGAGTGATGGCTGGCACACAGGTGGTCAGTGTATGCCTGTTTACTGAATTAGCCGCTGCTCCCGTTGTCCTACCAGGGCCTCATCAAGCTCAGCAGACTGAGTTTCCAGTCAGCTGACTGGATTTCAAGGAAAGTTGGCTCTCCTAAAGCAAATCTGACATTCCCTAACTTTCCCACAGGCACAAAATCCATCCGATTACAAAATGTGTTGAGTGAGACACACATGCAGAAATGTAGCCCTGACAAGCAAGCTCTCCACCCATCATCCTACCACTGAACTGTAACTGATAAGATGTCTCTTTGAAGGAAACAAACTGCAAATGACCTTTATCTCCAGGTCCCACCTAGGAAGTCAACAACACCTTAGAACAGCTGTTCTATGTATTTCTCTTCTTCATATGAAGTGATAATAATTATTAGCACTGTATAGCATAGTCAGAGCAGAGATTTAAGAGCCATGAGAGAGTATGGAATTGCTGGCATTCAGCCACTTTCCCAGTTTGCTCTCTCCCTACCTCTAAGTTCTACTTAAGAACTTACATTTTGAAATTTCTATTTCCTGAAATAGCTTTTACTAAAGGCATTCTGTCAGCTCAATGTGAGAAAGATGGTGGGGCTAGTGAGTCAGAAAAAATGCTGGTGCTGGGCTCAAGGGAAGCTTGAAGAAGTCAAAAGACGGACACGAGTTTGCTGTATTCCAAGGCTCTGGCAGCCAGAGAAGCCGGAACGAGGCCCTTGATCTGCGTGCTTTTTCTTCTCCCAGTGTACCTCTCCTCATCTAGAACCTTTCTTTCTCTTTGCCCTCCCTTCAGGGCAGCTCTGCGCCAGGGGGTGGAACAAGAGTCTGTGGGTCTGGGTTTGTGAGCTCACGCTGCACTCTCTTTCGGACATCCCATTCAAGTCATACCTGTTGTTACAGAGCTGTAGCTGAAACATCACCGTACAAGAACACGAGTGCCACTATTCTTGAGTCTAGGTAGCCCCACAGACTAAAAATGGTATGGTCACCAGAGAGGATCCAGATGTAAATACTTTTTAAAACCAGAGTTTTGGAGATGTGATCAGAATGCAAATATCAAAAAGAGATAGGCTAATTAACCCAGAAAAAGAGAATAAACATTATGACTTGAAGTCATCAAAAAGAACAGTAAGACATTTAAAAGCAATTCAAAACTTTTTTCTACTCAGCCAAAACTTTTAACTTTTAACACTGAGACAAGGTACTAAGTGGTGTCAAACATCTCAATCCTTAGAAATTAGACATAAATATATATTTTTGATGGTTGAAGTACAGATTTGGAGGAATACACCAAATAGGTATGCAAAGTTCCTTTGAGCTCTAATTAAAATCTTGGACGCTTTCAAGGCTGTGCCTGATGAAACTTTACGATCAGTCAATTGTTTTTTCTGAAACATTTCTAATCTGAAGTTTATTTCCTACAGTCACCTGCAGACCAACTTCAAGTTCACCGTATAAAGTAGGGCAGTATTAGGACAGGAGAGCGGTTTACTCTGCATACGGCAAAAAAGTCTGCAAGAATATTCCAAACTTTTAAATAGCTCATTCCAGAAGCTCTGGATTAATGTCAAGCCAAACCTTTACCTCAAGTGCCTTTCTTTGCCAGCCTGATCCCTGGGGTAGGTAATGTCGGCTCAGAGATGCGTACGGTACGTACTTACTGAGCTTGCAGACGCAAACCACCTGGTGCACAAGCTCCTCTCTGGCAAGAGGACTAGCGACCTGACTGTACTGCACCGTATCGGGGTCGGGTACTAACAGGGGCTTCCACATTCGGCTCAAAACCCCTTGCCCAGAACTTTTCAGACCTTTTCACTTAATATGCACGATTTCATACAGGTGCTTTCTCCAGGCTGCACCCGCCAAACCTGAGGCCGAGAGACTCCCCGGAGCGCAGCGAGGTCCTTCCGGGGCGGCCGCGCGAGGGGCGTACGCGCCCAGGGCCGAGCAGCAGCCGAGCAGAGAGCAGGAGCGCACAGGGCCCGGGGGGCCGGGGAGCCGGGAGCGCACGGCGGACGGGTGACCAGGGGCCGGGGGGTAGGAGAGCCGGGGGCGGGGGCCCGGCGCACCTTCGTGAACTCGTCCTTGTCGAAGCACAGCGTGTCCGGGCCCCGCGGCAGGTTCATCCTGCTTCTCTCCATTCGCCGGCCGCTCCTGTGAGCGCGGAGACGCGAGCGACGCGGAGCCGCAGGCCAAGCCCAGGGACGCGCGTTCGGGCACCGCTGACCGCACCGCACAGGGGACGCCGCTTCCGCCAACATGGCAGCGCCGCGCCGCGACCCGCCGCCGCTAAGAGGGGCACCGGGACGTCGTCGCCGCGGCCGCACGCAGTGCTGCCCCCGTGCGGCGGAGGGCGACCCTGCAGCCTTGCGGGGCCCCGGAGGCGGGACTTAGCTGGGCAGAACCGGAGCGGGATCAGGGGCCCGGCGCCCACCCGCCCTTCGGCTCGGGGAGCGCTGGCAGCAGAGTTGCTGCAGGGCCTTCTCCCGGGGCTGCTCCGCGGGGAGGAGTAGTGGCGGCCGCTGTCCCCGAGCGCGGCCGCCGCCGCCGGGGCGCTGGGGTCTCCGTCCTTACCCTCGGCGCCGCGGGCGGCGCGGCGTTTGTGCCCGGCTCTGCTGCGGGGAGCTGCCTGCTCGGTTTTGGGCTCCGGTCCGGGCGAGGCGCGCTGTGAGCCCGGCTCGGGGCACTCAGCGACCTTAGGAATGTAAATTGGTGCAGCCACTATGGAAAGCAGTATGGACCGTTTCTTGAAGGAAAACACTAATTCAAAAAGATATCCTGCCCTACACCTCTCCCCCACCATGTTTATCGCAGCATTATTTACAATAGCCAAGATACGCAAACAACCCAAGCAGCCACTGATGGGAGGAGTTGATAATGAAATTGTGGATATACAATGGATATCATTAGGACATAAAAAAAGAATGCCTATGGCTTTCCTGTATGTACTTAATTAAATTTTGTTACTTTTTCTCCTGTTAATCTGTCTCATGTCAATCTGTTTCTTACTCCAGCTAAGGGAACCTCAGGGATAGAAGAAATTCTTCCTGCCACCACCGGTCAAGTAGCTATGTTTACCAAGGGCTGAACCAGGACCTCCATCTTTTTGTTGAAAGGAGCAGGATCGTGTGGAGAAAATGGAAATTATAGCCAGGATC